ATGATAGATACAGATGGAATTGGGTAATGCTGAAGAGTTAAAAATAATTGTTTTGATTTTTATGCGTAATTAACTAAATAACATAGCTTCAATGTATTTTTCTGAATAAACGTTCTAAACCAGTTATAAAATGAAGTATTCTCAGAGCTCAACCTACGATAACCAAACTTGAATATTTGTCTTAAGCATAGCAGCTGTAATATAAAACACTATTTTTGTTACTTCACAATATTTCGTCCTAAATATAGTGGGAAACGCAGAATACAAATTCCATAATTGACAAAGTCTAACTTTCTATTCACCTGGAAATAAGATTTGACGAGGTACAGTTGGCCAACAATATCTTAAATTATGCGATGGTAAGGTCCTAGTCCCTAACAAAAGCTTGACAACTGATTATAACAGCACCATTGACACTAAGTTATTGCAGGACAGAAGGGAAGTTAGAGAATAAACAAATTGAGGAATCGCGACAGAAAACCTGCAAGTCTTAGTTTCTAACACAGTGGTTCCCAACGTTTTATAGCTTGTGGCACCCTCCCGTAGGCTTCTAGCACATATAGCCCCCTGTTTATCATTCTTAATCCCAATAAGTTTGAACAACTCGTGCTAAAAAAAGCGAAAACTAACCTGGTCAAGTAATGAACGAGAATATCGGTCGGAGACTTATCGATCAAAAGTTACTTACTTACTCCATAGCGACACCACGTGTCACATCACTAATTAATTATTAACTCGCTAATTATATGACATATTTCATCCAAAATCAATTGGCTTCCGGTCCGAGATACAATGAATGCACATGCAAAATTTGGAGGTGATTCAACCTCGCTTTCGTGAGATATCGCGTCAATCTAACAGGCAAACAAATACCTATCAACATACTTACCGATCAAGATCAATAAGTAACTCGGAAGAACTGGGAGTTTTCGAAAAGTAAAACAGTTTTGCGCCTATTCTCATGGTTCCTATCCAACTACTCTGTGGAAACTGCTGTTCTAACATGATCTACGCCAGTATATCCTCACTAAAAACTAGCGCGTCGGAATAAGACTCTCCTTTTCTACCAGTAATCAAACCAAAAACAACAAAGTATACATTACAATTGATTTATATACAATATATACAATAATAACATAATCCTTTGTGTTGCGGCCAGTAGGTCCATTCCTTGTAGTATCCATTTAGTGTCTTCCAAGACTCGAAGATACAATACAATAAAAGCACAACATGCATCATGCAAATATTTAGGCAATAGATAATTTAACTAGCATATTTAATAAAACATCACTGAGGGAGGAAGGTAGTGACTGGTGAAGTAACATAATAAAACAAAAACTTTTATAAGTCGCACATCAGAAATGAGACTTAATCATAGTATCCATTTTCCCAAAGCGGTAACTTCCCTTGAGTATGGTAGTGGCGACTAATAGAGCATTTAAAATAATAATGTAGTATTCACTCTAGGTTTTTCCAATTCTTAATGTAATTTCCAATTCTTAATGTAATGTACTGGTAGATTGGCAGGTAGCGATGAATGAAACATCACAAATACTAAATAATTTCACAACACAAAAATGCAAATTGCAGTAAGGTGATTGAGATTAACATAGTATTCAAAATGACTAGGGTAGGACAACAACATAAAATTCACTTCAACTTACTCCAATTATTAATGAAACGTACTGGTAGACTATGTATATATATACAAAATTTTGTGCCAAAAAAATGTTACACTACTCTAAAAGGTAAAACCAATTACTAATTTCAATTCATATCGACAATTTTTATTAAGAAGTTAGCATTGGCATTAAGATGTACTTTTAGGAAATCGTAACAGGAATAGAGCGTAACAATTTCTAAATATTTAAATTGACGCCCAAGTTTAAAAACAATACTGAAAATATAACACATGCGTTTATAATGAGCCCATAAACAGCACAGTCTTATAAGATGTGGCAACATATTTTTTACGATTGGCAGCCTAAACGTATCCAAGCAAAGATAGCATTGTAAGTAACCAGTGTTTAAAGGCCAAAATACTGTCATTTATTCGAATGGTAACTCCTAACATATCAATAGATATTACCGGCTACTGAGTGCAAAGCGTGAATTAGTATCAGATGAGACACTTTGGACAACTTGAAAACTTAACCAGTACTAAAAATATATCCACACTAATACAGTCACATGACAGTGAAATGGAACAGTACGGGTAATGGAATGGCACACAACAAATATTTGGCATGCACAGTACTATAAAACTAGAACAGACCTAATTCAATAGCCCATTATAAACATGACTGGCCAAATGTATTTATCTATAGAAGTAACTGCACATATGTTCAATTTCAAAAGTCAATAATTCTGCATATTTGAATTGGTGATGGTTCTGAGTTTCTAATTACAGCAAACATATAAAATGGAATTCCAGCGAGATGAAAAATCACATCTATACCCATATCAGCATCTAAGATTTGTCTCGAGTCATTTGGATGGATAATTTTTTCTCAAGAATTAATCCTATGGAATTACTGTACACCCTACAACCCCGCCCTTGTTGGAGAATTCAGGATTGCTGACCCTGAAATCTAGTAATTCGAAAATAATGTAACATCCTAACACAGGGGTGGGCAACATACAGCCCGCGACGAGATTTTGACCCGCCTGCTGACTATACATCAGTACATTATGATATTACATTATTACACTTTTAGTACATTATGATAAATTCATTATGTGTTTTTTGGTCTCGGTTTTTTGTTAAGTTTAAACTTTACCTTCAACGCGATTTATAATTTTCTTTCTTGCATTAGCGAATAAATATGCGATTAAGATATTGCATGCTATTCATGTAATAATCCGGCCCACCGAGGACATCTTGCCTGCCGACCAGAGAAGTTGCCCACCCCTGTCCTAACATAATAACTGCTTATTTGTAGCTTCTTGGAACCCAAAAGCTAAAGTTGGCTTGAACAAAAAAAAAATTTAATTAACTGAATTCCCAATGTAAATTCTTCCAACTATCAATTTTTGGAAATTAAATCGTCCAAAGTATCCATATACAGAAATTAAGGTGAGTTAGTCAAATTGACTGATTAATAAAAAGCCAAAAGAATCTCTGGACAGCTAATCAATCCAAATTTTAATGTTATTATAGATATCATATCAGATCAGTATCTATCTTCTAAACAAATAACAGGTAAACTGATCGTAAGCATACAGTCTAAACACATCAATTTTGCAAAACTATGACGACGGAGAGACAAGTGAATGTGTGGCCGTAGCATACTGACACTAGCAAAACAAAATGAAGATATATAACATAGTGAGCGACGTGATCTTTGAAGTTTTATCAAAATTGAACATTATTTTTTGACAAATCGTTTTGTGAGTAATAAAAATTGGCATGCCTTTTGCCCTAAACAAGCGGCTATTGATATATCACAATATGCGAGGAGATACTTATTATTTGGGAGCAATGAAAGCTCTCCGATTCAGCAATGCCGATCACATAATTTTTCCGCAAAATAAACCAAATACTCAGAATGAAATTCATCGCAATGCTGACACCATGTGGCCTAACGATTTATATTCTGCAACATAAAGAGTAGCGCTTTGTATATTAGTCAAACTTAGAAAACACTAAATTATTGCCTAACAAATCTACAGGCACTGTTGCACTATAAACAATGGACCTAAAAAAATATTTCAGTAACAGAAAACGCTCATGCGGGAATCAGTTTGTAAATAGGCGAATTAAAAACAGAAAAAGTATGCCTCGAGTTTTCGAATATGAATCGCAATGCTATGATAAAAATATTAACACAGATTACAAAATTGCAGTATGCTACCTAAAACTCCCAACAAAATAATCCGCCAAATGTTGACATATATTGATAGATATACAGGGTGTCCATAAAGTCCCTTTACAATTTCAACTTTGTTATGAAGTCAGTTCTCAATATATCTTATTAACCAGGTTTGTTGTTCTTTAATCAGTATTTTTACCTCATTTAATACATCTGTGAGGGCCAAAACAATATATGGTATCGATAAGTTCCCTTTGCAGGCCTGCTAATTTGGACATTCGGTATTGCGAACAGTGAACAGTCTGACACATATTTCTACATGTTCCTCAGACTTTAAGATTAAATTCATTGGACAAATCTCGAAACATTTCGAATAATTCATTCCTAATTACTAAAACTGATAAGTATAAATTAGTTTAACATGAAGATGGCAAACGAAAAAATTCGCACAATTTTGATAAAAAAGGTTTAAAAATGAACTTGGTATAAACATAATAAAACCTATGCTAACACAAGCTTTATTTTACGATTTAACAACATTTTTTGATTCAAATCTGACATCGCGGCCTCAGCTGCTTCACGGCTAGGGAACGCTACCAGTCCTTCACCTGTTAGCTTCCCAATTGGATTGTACATTAGTCTAACAGAGTCTGGGATCGGTGAGAATTTCATAAAAAATTCTAAAATGTCTTCTTGGGTGATGTGGAAGGATAGGTTGGACATTTTGACCGGGACGGGTCCATGCATTGGCATTCTGAAGGGTGGCATGTCCATAGGGAGTCTGGGACGCATTGGCATGTCACCCATAAATCTTGGAGGGGGCATACCGGGAGGAAAACGTGGCCCGTCGCCAGGGAAAGGGGGTCTGTCTAAACGTGGACCGCCAGGGGGGAATGGAGGGCGCATATCAAATGGGGGCCTTCTATGTGCTAGCTCGCGTTCTCTCAACATTGCCCTCTCGTGGTCGATTCTACGATTAAGATCATCCATTTCAGCCCTGTGTTCCATCTCTTGTCGGCTCATCTCCCTGGGAGGGGGCCGCATTGACGGACTGGGGCTCCTGCGTCCCATTGGGTGACCGGGAGACATTCCCCTTGGGGGTGACCGGGGTCTCATAGGGGGCATGTTTCTTGGGGACGGGCCCCGATGCATTTGCATATGTGGTGGGGTGGGTGAACGTCCACGATTTCTTCCACCACCAGGTGGCTCCATTGGGGGTAGTGAGGGCCGAGGGGGTTCCCGGGCATTGAATCGGGGCCCATGTATTTCAGGGTGACGTAAAGCTAAATCATATTCAGGAAACCGAACAGGGGGTGGAGGACGTGGGCCTAACATATCCATTGGGCCTCTCGGTAAATCAGGCATTGACGAGGGGGCATCTGTAAGCGCAACTCATCAGGATGTGGTGGGGGTAAATTTGACGGCAATGGGGGTCCATGCGGTGGGCGCCCGAAGACTTTCATATTATGATCCATTATTTCTTTTTCCATTTCCCCATTTCTAACTGGCATAATTCGAATCAAAGATCCATGTATTTGAGCTACAGCATGAAGATTCGCTGCTCGTACACAATCCTCTGAAGTTACAAGCTCAACGAAAGCATTTCCGTTACATTTACCATCAGGCGTATGTAGAATATGAATTCCATTTGGCATTATGCTGATGCCAGAAAACGCTCGCATTATATCTTCTGGGATAGTGTGTGGCGGAACGCTACCAAGTCTCACACACGTTAGTTTATCTACTAAAATATTCATTTCTAGGTTAAGATCATCTCTATGCGAAGGTTTAGGTGGTAGCCCCATGGCTCCCCCTGGTGGCTGTGGCTTGTAATTTGCTGTTGCTGTACCAGCGAAATCTGAGAGTGGAAATAGATCTTCCAAATTACGAGATTCGAATTTTCTCAGTAATTGCGTCATTTGTGTGGGATTCGTTTTCTGAACGAGAACCTCACGACCTCCGAGATGACCTTTGTCTTGTCTTGATGCTCTCTCAGCGTCAACTTCATGCATGAATTTTATGAAAATGTGTCCGGAACGTTTTCCGTTTTTTATCACAAATTGAACACCATGGGGAGCGATCGGCAGTCCATGAAAGAACTCACGAATCATGTGCTCGGATATCGTGAAAGGTGAATTTGCAATTCTAACAAATTTTGTGGGAATATTTGGATCATTCGGTTGTGGCGGCCGCATTTGGGGAGCTGGCGGTCTTGCTTCTGTGGTAGACGAAGTCGGTGGTAATCGGCCATTAGGTGGCGGCAATGTAACAGGTGCAACCACACTGCCAGTTTGGGTTGGAATTCTTGGTGGGAGCGCGGGGTTCGGTGCCCTCGGGAGTCTGACAACAGGACCTAACCCGATACTTGGTGGCAACGGGGGTGGAGGCAAGCTTGTCAACATCTGGAGCGGAGGTGTGGCAGCAATTATCACTGCCGGTGCCGTGGGGAGTTTCAGTGGTGCCACGGATGGAGGTGGCAGTGCCGTGCTTGGTGGTAATGCCGGGGGGTTCAATGAAGTCGTACCAGGGCTAGGTAGAGGAGGCGGGGGTGTGAACCGGTGCTGGTACGCCATTGGTTGATACGGATGCACTGATGCGTGACTTGTTAGCGGCGGCTCACCAGGACGAAGTTGTGGAGTGCCAGATGAACCTCTAGAAAATTGTGAAAAACCAGAATCACTCGAAGCGGAGGAGTATTGAGACGTTGCGGGTTTAACAGGCAGAAGAGCGTCACTCGGTGGTGGAGGGTAGTCTTCAACGTATTCCTCTTTCGGCACGGCAGGGCTCGGATTCTGGTCTTCAAGATCCATTTCGACTTCTTTTACATTTCCATTCTGATTCATGCTTTCCAGTTCTTTTTTCATATATTCCTGTTTAATTCTCATTTCAGCCTCTTCTTTAATTTTAGCTTCGAGTCTTTGTAATTCAATTTGTCTTTTCCTTTCAAATTCCGCTCTCATTTCTGCCTCCTCTTTTCTTCTTAATTCATCTTCTTCTCGTCGGCGTTTTTCTTCTAACGCTGCGCGCCGAGCACGATCTTCCTCTTCTTGCATTCTGCGTTGTTCAAAAAGTCGATCCAACTCTCTACGTTTTCTTTCTTCTTCTTCTTTAGCATGTTGCCGTGCCAACCATTCCTCCATTTCTCGCTGTTTTTTCATTTGATATTCCCTTCTTTTCTTTTGTTCTTCTTCATCCTTACGTTTCTGTTCTTCGTACTGCGCTTCTTTCATTTGCCTTTCTTTCAATCTTTCTTTATGTTCAATTTCTTCTCGCTCCCGTTTATATTCTTCTTCTCGTTTCATTTTCAAGTATTTTTTATGTTGTTTTATCTGTTCGGCCATAACTTGTCGAGAAATCGAAATAACGCGAATTTGTTTTCCTTCTATCATTTCGCCATCTTTTAAAAGAGCTTCCTTATATTCCTCAATTGTGCTGAACTCAGCAAACGCACGACCCCGACAATGCTTACCATCCAATTCAAGAAAAAGTCCGCCTTCAACAAATTTTAAATGATAAAAAAGGTCTTGAACTGTTTTGTAAGATGACGTCACAGGCAGCCCGCGTAACTCAACGCAATTATCGCAGCGTATTGGTGATAAAGCTCGAGACCGCTTCGGCGTACCTTCATTCGTCGGTGTCGAATTTTGGCCCCTTTTTCTGCTATATTCATCAGTTGAAGGGCGTACTGTATCACACATCTGAGATCCAGATGATACCCATTGACGTTCTGTGGCAGGTATAACACGAACGAATCTTGGACCAAGAAAATCACGATCTTTTTTGAGTGCTTGTTGTTTACTAGTTGGAGACTTAAATTTTACAAATCCTTGACCTGATTGTCGGCCTTTTTCATCTCGCATAAAACGTATCGCTGAGATTGGTAAATGCTGGAAAAACTCTACAATATCCTCCTCTGAAACGTTATAAGGCATGCCTTTCATTTCACAATATAAATCAGAAACTGTATCGGCAGTGTCTGGTTGGGCTTGGCCTTTTTGTGCACCCCCTCCAGTGGCTGATGATCGACTTGTCAAATTAGTAATAGGTGGTTCCGGTGGTCTTAAACCTCTCAATTCCTCGTACCTTCGCTGGCTCTCCTCAATCATCAGTCTCATTTCAGTATGGCTACTCAACATAAGTTTGACTTTATCACCACTGATTTTTTGTCCATCTCGTAACATAGCTTGGCGAGCATCTTCATCTGTGGTGAATAGTATAAAAGCTGTGCCGTCTTCTCCTCCGATAATATGAACCCCGCCATCCGGAATTGATAAGGTGCTAAAGAATCTACGGATATCAATCGTTCCCGCAGAAACGGGAAGATTTCTGAGGCGTATAACAACGCCGGTTGACATTTCTGTAATCTGTAACAAGTAAACCAGAATGCTATAATGAAAACAAAAAATTAATTTTTTCAGATTTTTTAAAAATTTCAAGTTTTGCCTAATCAATAGTATTATCTAATGATCTGCAAAGAAAATTGGTTAGGTGTACTCATACTCGTACTCTATGCAAACAAATTAACATTTTATTATAATTCATAAATTAATCACTGTAATTTCAAATATAATACCAGTACACATACATATATATCCATATTAACAGGAAATCCCCTCAAAATCTAACAGTAGGAATATTAGGACTGGCTGGATGTGGTGATTTTCAACGTAACCATGGATCACCATAATCAATCAAACATTTGAATCGGTGGAAAATTAGTTACAATCAATATAATTGACTCTAGAAATAATTTGGAAATTAAAAACTTATCAATCTGAGCAATTCACACAAACGGTGAATCAAATAAAAACTTAAATCAAGTTCTCATATTGTAAAAAAACAAAGCAATGTTAATAAACTGTTTTACATTACTAATACCGTCCGAATAATAGTGGACCACGACATAAAACAAAAAAGGATATAATAAAATAATGGGATTTCATAATATATTTAACAAGATCCTAAATTTGAAAATAGAATTCTCATATTATAAAGCAATAATTTTTTTAAAATATATAAAAATCCAAAATCACAGTATGGCCTTTAAAAAATTAGGTAAAAATTTACGAGATACTGTTCCAATTCGCAAAATCTTTTATTCTCAAAGATGAAACCTTATTCCAAACTTAATTACATGGATTTTAACCCTAAGTAATTTTATTATATGCTCAGTATGCCACTCCACAATGGTTACAGTGGTCCAATTGCTACCAGTACATTCGAAATTTATGACATATTTTTCAAAAAAAAAAAATAAAACTCGAAATAAAAAACCTAGATTATATGATTCTTATCACCTACAAAAACTTTTTGACTGTAAATATGAAACCAAATATTCAGCAAATTTGAAAATTTAAACAACATCCAACATAATATCAAACAAGAAATATAAACAAACATAAAGTCTGTATGAACACATTCTTCCACCAGATAATTTTCTTAAATAAAAAGGCAACATAACAAAACTACCACACACAAGTCCAACGGCTTGGCACTAACTAAAAACGATAATGTTTGATTTTCTTCAAAATGACAAAAGTAGTTCAGTAGGCAAAAATCGAAATCCAATCGTCTATCTACAAAAGCAGAAAACTAACAAACTCCGACTAAATCAAAGACTATTCAGACTTACTATGATCTACCTACTCAACTATAGCAAATTTCATACATCTACTCAATGAAGCTACAAATTTCACAAGAAACCATAATACAACACCAGAAAGAAATCTCTGAAAGGAATTAAATAGTTAACATTTCAAATGAATTATGGGGTATCACAAACAACGGGCGTCTGGGACCACGTGAGATGCGTCATATCACACCATGCTTGTCTCAATAATAATCCAAGTTGATCGTGGTCGTCACATGACCAATGATTTCACATGATTTTTTTATTTTCGGTAAATCGGCTCATTTTTTACCCAAGGAATTCAATGATCACCTTACTAGATTGCGCTTTTTTGTAGTATTTTGCGCAACTTCATTATACTGTATTATTACCGATATTGAGGGACAACAATGTCCAGACGTCTCCCAAAGGAGGGGTGTCTGATCATCTGTAAAATGGGTTTCTCTGAAACGGGACAATGTCACCCGATTTGTATAGTGTGCCGTACTGCAATGAGTATCAACCACAGAAAATTTCTATATATCTAAATAGAATCAGAAAATTTAGAACAATATGTTATTACTGGCAGTCACCTAAAGTTACAGAGATATGAAGCTTCATTATGCCTGCTTATCCCTTCACACGCTACCAATGTTACTGTATAATCTTTATTTCAAACTCCACAACTTAGTCTGCTAATATATTCTAATAAAAAAATAGTAAATACTTAAAAAAATGATAACAGCTGTTCTACCATCTACTAACGAACTACAGAACTATAGGATAAGTAATACTTTTCTACATGCTTTCCCTTGATCTCTGTGCCGTTACAGTACTGCAGTAATACAAAAATGAGAATAAAACCTATCTGACCTATAGTTATACAGTTAGTTATAAAGGTTTATTTTACATAGACTTGATATGAAAGTGCTATAATATCACATACAACAACAGGCGAAAAAAATGCTTTACCAGTTTTCCACACAATTAAAATCGAACGAACAGAAAAAGGAAATTGTATGTCAATTTTCATTTGAAATCATCTAGAAAACAGACAGTACTTGCGCAGACAGTTAGGCATCAAGAGCCACAATACGCTACCGGTATGTTTAAATTACCATCAACTGATCAAGTTACAGCATGCAAAGGCGAACTGGGTTGTAATAGATCAGTAAATAGCCTCTTCCTACTGTTCTTCGCTTAAGCCTTCAATTATACTATTACAAATAGGCTAACCAATACCGGAAAGTACGGTAAACAAACTCTAAACAAAGACTTCAAAAACCTGAAACAGTTCCATACACTGATCTGTAAAGACTTGACTGCTTAAAACTATCACTCTGCACTCAGTCCTGCCGTTTCCAGAGGATGCAAAAATCAATGAACCTAATACTGTAATATACATATATACAAATCTATCTATAGCATTTCCCCTAACTTATAGTAACCTTGTTTCCTCATGGCATATCCAATCTCAACGAAATACTTAATTATGTTTAAAAGTTATTTCTGTGTCGGTAATAAATATACGGTACATAATAAAGGGATATTACAAAAGAAATAAGAGTGACTGGCCTTATTCTATATCACAGTACCGACCAACAATTAATACACATTGCTCATGGTACAGAACAAAATATTTTAGGAATTAAAACCGGCTCCGGCAGAGCAAACTACAAAAATTACTTCATCTTTCGATGGCATCCGCCCTCCACCACACCCCTCTGTCATTGCTACATTGCGAAATAGTTTCGCTCGCTGGTCGATCGCGCCATTTTCGTGCAACACTTCGCGTTTGGCATGTATCGCCCTTAGAAGCAGGAAAACAGCAACTTTAGCTAAACTTATCCATAGATTTTTGTAGCAGTATAACAAAAAATAACTTTATGTCGCCTATGGGCTCTTAGAAGGTTAGAGATACTTAGAAATCAAAACTAAAAACGCAAAATTCGACCTAGAACGCCCGCGCAATAGCAAAAACAGCTGGCGAAAACGACGCGAACTGTCGCTCGCGACATCTTTCTCTCCGTGACGTTTCAAATAAAAGAAAAACGTTTCGCGCGAGGACAAGCGTGCAGAGAAAAAATAAACGCAGGGTAAGAAATTAATACGAGTGTTTTCTCACTTAGGCGAATAGCACGAGGCTTACTGCGGCCCGTAGTTTCTGTGCGAAGCATAATTGTAGTTACATCTTGTCACACATATCGTGTGCATAAAATGGCCATGCACCTGACCTAAATAAGTGTTTTAATACTGCAAATAATGTTTGCCTGTGCCTTATCCCGATAGAAATTTTCTTGAGGGGTCGGTTGACCTTGCAGTCTGGCCCGCCCCTTACGATTATAGTTTACGATCACTGTTCATTCTTTTTACTGTAATGTGTACTTTGATTCTATATTCGAAAATAAATCATTATCGTATCTCTCTCTCCCTCATATATAAATTTCTTTCTCGTGCCCTACTAAAAGCGGCCCAGTTGAACAAAAGGTGTTCTTTCCAAATAATGTGACTTTCTCCTTAAATTTTCATTTCAAAAGGGCAAATAATGTATTGATCATTAAAATAACACTTCATTTGGTTCTGATTGAATTTAGGTTCTTTAAAAACGCAACAAAGATAGCGAGTTCAGTTCAAACACTTCCTTCGGTCTGCTCATCATTTTGCGACTCCAGTTTCAAAAGTTCGTCTTTTAGAGTTGTTTCGAATAGAACCCATGATCAATAATAACTGATAAATCATATCAATAGCACGCCATTATTTATGCATCGTTGAACGCAGCTTAGTAGTTAATTATTAAGACACGGACATAATATTTAATTTACGATTTTTAACGAGGGCGATTCAAGACTATGCACAATGAAATGGATTCGGAATACATTCTTCAGGAAGCCAGGAAAATGTGCGCGAAAGATTACCAGGAAGAAATTAAAGAAAACGGGATTCTATCGCCAAGTAAAAATAAAAGCCCACTCTGGCCGCCATGGTCGACTTTGGAATACGAAGCCATGGAAAGGGACACAGCAAAATATTTTCTATATTATGGCGCAATAAATATGGCTCTGAAGGATATTCTTACATCACAAAAAACTAAGAAGTCAATAAAAGTATTGGTTTTAGGACCCGGTCGCGGTCGGCTTGTGGAATACGTCATAGATTGTATGAAAAATAACAACATAATTGGTGTAGTACACGTCATAGATGCGAATGATTCTTGTTTGAAATTGATAAGAGAAAGGTATAGTGACGTTTCACGCGTCATTGTTCATAAAGCGTTGGTGATAAGGGACTGTGACGAAACAAAGAAACTGATAAAAGGCGCTAAGGCTGACGACGAATTGCGAAAATTGCTTCAAGATAAATTGATCGACCTTATAGTTTCGGAACTCTTTGGATCTTTCGGAGATAACGAATTTATGCCGGAAATACTCTCTGTAGCCATGAGGCTCTTCTGCAACGAGGGGTGCATTTCGATTCCACAAATATACGTGAACTATATAACGCCCGTGTACTCCGTAACTCTCGACTCATTTTTTAATAAGATCGAAGAAGAAAGTGGAATTTTGGAAAATGTTTACATTACGGGGTTACCTATTGACACGATTCTGCTGTCCGAAGCGAAAGAGTTGTATTCCAACGAATGTGTCACGGTATGTAAAACTATGGATGAAAAAGTCACGTTCCAAATAGGCAAAAAGTTTAAACATATACACGGATTCGATCCGGAAGGTCCTAACAAAGGGGGTCAAATGTCGTGTGATAATGCGGAAAAACGATCGTGGAACGGAGTTGATATTTCCGGGTTTTTAGGTCACTTTAAAGCCGTGTTGTATAAAGATTTTTATATCGATACAAGGCCTGGTCCGTACAGGAATACATACTTCTGGGAATCGTCATTCTTCCCACTAAACTGGGAATCTAAGATAAAATTGAATGAATATATGAAGCACTCAATTTGCGACAAAGACGAAACAGGTCTAAATTCGTTTTCTAACACTGCAAAATTTAAAGAGAAAAATCGAGAACTCCAGTTCAAGCTACAAAGAATTTTGAAAAAATTACCCCACAGAAAACGAACTATGGATGGTACAGTAAAGCCGCCAAATTGCGATGCTGCTAGTCCTAGTTTAGAAGTTTGGTACGAATGGTCGGTATTGAATACCGATGGTGATTTATTAGGGGATATTCATAACAGCGGAGGGAAATTCCACAAGTTACATTTATAAAATAATTATGCAGCATCATGTTTATTATAGACAGTTTTTGTATTAGTATTTTACCAAGTGGAAAAAATTCTCACTTAATTTCAGACTCCCAGACATTTAAATAACCGTTCCTCATTCCAGGTTGTCAAAAATTTTGACTCCAACTTCAGCTTTCGACTCCGAACTGGCCGAATTTCGACGTCTGTCAGCCACATTTAGTTGAAATGTCATTAGTTTATGTTCAAAATTTTTTTCAGAACCGAAATTCCCACAACCCGATGTCTTGTATTGTAGCTCTCGATTTCCGAGAAATTTGTAATTTCAACTCCGACGCCTTTTAAAAACGCGACTAATGCTCAAGTACCGCTAGCGCAAAGGCATGTTCGACGTGTAAACGCGCCATAAAATAAATTTAATGGAAAATTGACAACAAAATTTTATATTTTTTATTCCAATCCGGATCGTATCTTTGAACAATGTTGGGGCAAGAACCAATATCAGTCTTTCAAAAACGAGATTTCTATTGTTCATATTTATTTTTAGTTTTATTTGTTGTTTTCAGTGCTAACCCGTTTATCATTTATTTCATTTTTGAATTTATTTCGTTCTCATTCAAATATTTTTTTTTGACCATTTTTTAGAAAAAATTCATTTAAGTCTAGAAGTTTTCATAAACTTTTAAAAATGTCCGACAACCCCAACAAACTGGAGAAAATTCTCGGACAACGCCACGTGTCCATCAAGAATCCTGAAATTGTTCGGAAAAAGATTGAGACGTTGATCAAAGGAGGTGCTTCTTCATTACAGGTAATGTGTTGTATATGTAATTTTCTTTGGCACAGTATTTTTTGTGAGTGTCAAATCAGACTGTAACAGCTCGCGAGTCCAATCGGGGTGCTCCGCAAGTATGTGCACCAAGATGACGCACAACCTGAACCCTAACCTGGTACACACACTTGAAACGTTTACTTTTGAGACTCGTGGAAACCCACGTTGTCCGGACTCCAATCGGGGTACTCCCGAAGTATGCGCACCAAGATGACGCACAACCTGAACTCACGTTGTGTACCAGGTTAGGGTTCGGGTTATGCGACATCTTGGTGCGCATACTTCAGGAGCACTAAAAATTTAATATAACATATCCAGTGGCAGGATTCAAATTCTTTGTCAGTCGGTTCCTTCACAAAAGTTATATTTTAAGCCGGTTCTATTACAAACAGAACATTGACAGTAACCAGTAATGCTAACCGGTTCGCTGTCCTCATAAAATTCCGTGAAACGGTTCTATAGAACCGGTGCAAACCGGCTGAATCTCACCACTGAACATATCTTAGTATGAGCTATCATAACACTTCTTTCTCTTATACTGCAGGTTATCAGTGACTTTGACAAAACCATCAGCAAATATCGACATTTGAACAAGAGATGTCCGTCAAGCCACTGTGAGTACAAACTATATATTGATGATTTGTATTAGGATAGGATTTACATATTTATCACATGAGAGAGAAAAGCCGATAAGACGGCCTAATTTTTATGACGAACCAAGTCCTCTCGTCCGTCGAGTACACACTTTGATAATTTGTCAATGATATTGACAGGGACGGAAAGTAATTGTGACAATTTGAATAAATTCCAAACCACTTTGTAAACAGCGCGCATTATTTGTTGTTCTAATTGTTATTGGACATTTATTGGCACTCCCCTTGTATGTGTACCAGGTTAGGGTTATGCCATAATTTTATTTCGATTTTCCTTATTTCACTTCTCTCATGGGTTCGAGGACTGTATATGCTAGCCAAGTGAATATACCCCCTGTAAATAGGTTTCAATCCCTTTATACAAATTGAAGAGGGTCCTATGCGTATAGATAGGTGAAAATACACAGGCAGTACACGTACGAGATCTCACAATCCAGTTTTACGAATTAAAACCGTTGGGGGGAAGGTTTCGAAAATTCTTAAGATCACAAATTTCATTTTTGTACACTCTTTTGTTCCCAGGTATTATCGAGACTCATTCTGTCATTCCACAAGAAATAAAAGAAGAGATGCGAAGCATGGCGCAGAAATATTACGCAATCGAGACGGACCATAATTTAACCGTTGAAGATAAAATACCACACATGATTGATTGGAACGAAAAAGGGACAGGATTATTTATCAAAGCAGGCGTTAAAAGGGAACACTTGCCACATATGGTCAAGGATTCAGATGTTTGCTTACGAGATGGGTTTGTTGATTTGGTGGACACCCTGCATAAAAGCAATGTTCCCCTTCTAATTTTCTCCGCTGGTGTAGCAGACGTTGTAGAGGAAGTCATAAGACAACAAGCGAGTGTTCATCCTAACATGAAAATCGTCGCAAATACGATGGATTTTGACCAAAAGGGAGCACTGATTGGGTTCAAAGGTGAACTTCTCCATCCTTTCAATAAAAATGAGTCTGCGCTGGAGGGAGATCCATATTTTGAAGAAATAAGACATCGACATAATGTTATCCTACTTGGCGATTCAATAGGCGACCTTACCATGGCTAATGGCGTTCCTGGAGTGAATGTTTCTCTCAAAATTGGATTCTTAAACGCCAAATTTGAAGAACTACTCGATACCTTCATGGACGGCTTCGATATTGTTCTGGAAGATGACCAAACAATGGAGGTTGTTAATGCCATACTGGAAGAAATAATGGGATAAAATTGAAGGCATTGGGACCATGAAAAAATCTCCGGATTTAGAAAGGCGAACTATCTAAATATCCATATCCGGTTGGACAAAAATTTGACTCCGAAAACTGATTCAACTACAAGTACAAGAAATTTGGAATTTCCCTAAAAATGAGAGTTTAAATGAAATCGATTTCTTCCTGTTTACTAAAAAAATGTTGCAATACCTACATTGACAATTCGATATTCGACTAATCAATGGGGGGGGGGGGGGGGGAGGACCCCTTTTGAAATGGGGAAACTAGCATTTTTTCTGTATCATACATAGCGATTCTTCGTAGCTTGAAATGCTTTTTAGACCCCAAAGACTCTTGAAACCCCATGTTTCCGACGTGGATACGCTATGACGCCCATACCAATTTATTTTCCTAATAACAAAATACAACCACACTCACCCCATTCCCGACCCAAAATCTTGGGTGTGCAGACATCTCGGATTCTCACCACTGATATCCCAAACTTTCAGTTCTTTCTGTCGACCATGAGAATGAAAGTTAGCAACGCTTTCTTCAAAAGTAGAAGTCCATGCGCTAGGACAAATTCAGCCAAGGTCCTAGCTGTTACGCTCTAAATTGGCAACCAGAAATGTCGAACCCCGCCCGACTACGTCTCTGCGACTAGGGTCCCTGATGAAATCATGTTGTCAATGTAAAACCTTTTTCTTGTGATTAATGGCTTGCTGCTGTTTAATTGATCTTGTGAATGTAATTTACAATCCAGTTTTTCATTGTATTTATTTCTTCGTAATTTCGGATTGTGATTAATATATCGATTCTACATACTTGGAATGTAATTATTTCCACACACGACATGATTTGGTAACCAGTAGGGAGTTCGTGGTCATCGAATAGATGTCCGAGGAATCTCAAAAAATGACACAAAAACCACCGAAACCCCTCGTTTTGGTGTTTTGCCGTTCGTTACTCACTCCGGGATACTTCGTCCACAAACGCATATAATATGACAGCCACCCCGGATGGGACTCGAACCCACAATCCCTGGCTTAGGAGGCCAATGCCTTATCCATTAGGCCACCGGGGCTGCAGAACAGAGTGTGATACTCATCTATTTCGACTCAAATTATAATTTCCCCTCATTTTTTTTTATATAAAAAAACATGTACTCATCTGAATACAAGCCCCTTAGAAAATATCTGTCCAAATTGGTGAGCGTGCGGGTGTTATTAATTACCATCGCTTTTCAGCTTGGCCTTTCGTCTGAATAACAATAACGGCTGAGTATCAGAATAACTAAAAAACTAATTGTCTTGGATAGTTAATATAACTAACATTAATCATCTTGTAGTATTTCCATAAACTCATAAACTCATTCATTCTTTCCCTCAATGCACAATACTTATGTTCCTACTTTTAGCCCATCTCTTATTTAATTCATCTACATCTCCGTTTCACCTGCGGAAAGGCTAAGCCCCAAATCTGCAAACTAATGAGGCTACGTTCAAGGCCGGGTCATGGCCTTTAGAGGCCTTAAGCACTCAGGAATTTGGTGTCATAAAAATAAACTACAAATAATATTAGGAATATAGCTAGTGCTCCAGTGTTATCTGAAATTGAAGGCGCTCAATGCGCTTACAGGAGTCTAAATGCTGCGAATTTTGAACTCACGAGAGTTTTAAAGAGAACTCATTCTGAATTAAAGGAGACCCATATATGATTTTGCTGTAATGCTGTCCGCATGCCTGTCCATACCCTTCGCCTCAGTCGATAGAACAAAGACAACTCAGTCCATAACGAGCACTCTTTATTATTACAAACAAACAAAAAAAACGGACCTCCTGAAGTATGCGCACCAAGATGGCGCACAACCTGAACTCAGGTTGTGTACCAGGTGAGGTTTCAGGTTGTGCGACATCTTGGCGCGCCTATTTCAGGGGTACCAAAAAAACAGTACTCTAAAATCGTAGCAATGCTAATCAGGCAATAATCGGCACTTAGTAACCACAAAACCGATTATCTCAGCGTAATTCACAGACCATGTGACGCGATGTCAATAGATTGCTTAGTCTCAGACTCTGGTATTTATTTTCACCGTGCAAGAATCAAGTAAAGTAATATACGCACACAATGAATAAAAAAAAGTAACAAAGCATGTTGCTTCGTAGCAATTGGTGAGTGGAGTCGCGAAAGACTCGGCGAGCTATCTAGTCAGCATGAATTCAAGCAGAAAATATAGCGAAGAAGCAAGTTTTATAAAAAAATTTACTAAAAAACACAATTATGAAACGAACAACAAATTAGTAACAGATTGGGTTTTTATCAATGCATGTGGCAGCCGATACTGGTTTTGAGTTTAAGCATTAAAGCATTACCTGATTCATACATTATGTGAACCTGCTTATGAAGTACACGATCAGTTTTTAGGGGGAAAAAATGTAAAGTGCGTCTTATGGTACGCAAAATCGGTACATATCGCCCAACATGGCAATGACGAATAGGTCGAATTTCGCAATTTCAGTTCTCAAAACGTTGAAAATGCAGATTTCCTCGGAAAGAACAAAACACTTTCGATTTATTAGAATTGAAGAGAGTAACCGTTTCCCTAATTCAATCAGGGGAAACTGTGATTACAAACGACGTTTAATCTCATATTATGCTAATTAAAAATTGTCAAATATAATATTTGAACTATTCACAAAATAGGTTTATATTAGCTTAAATTTTCTTTTATTTAATTCCCATTTTCAACAAATCTTTTTAAGAATCGTAGACAGTGGCCGTTTCCCTACTTCAATCACAGGAACTGGTGCGCATTCACGTATGTGTTACACTCAGTGCCAATGTGGTTGAAATTGGGAAACAGCTAGTTAAACAAGTTCGCTTCTGTAGTGCGTTAAGTTTAGTTCGGTATGCCTGAAATAAAAAGATATATAAAATAAAGAATTGAAATTAACGAATTATGAGCAAATCAATTGAAAGTCCTAGCCCTTATATGATGGGATTATCAAAGATAATTTATATATCAATATAGGTAGGCTACTATAATAATATAATATAGGTAATATATATAATATAGGTAATATACGGGTGACCCAAAAGGTGGTATACAGTTATTTTATTTATTTTTTATTACCTTCCAAGCAGCTAGAAAACTAATGAAAAATTCACACTAGATTTATTATCTAAAAAAATAAACAATTTTTGTGGTACTTAACAAGTAACATAAAGTGAACTGCAAGTAGCTTCAAAGCATATAAAATAGTTTAATGACTGTATACCTACTTTTGGGCCACCCTGTATATAATATAGGTACTTTTGATGAGCAAGTAGTGACACTCTTAGGAGTGACGTAATGCCGACCCCCAAAAATAATAATAGTGATGAAACTGGTGCGAGTAAGTTTCGATATTCTTTACAAATTGAGGGCAAGTTACGATTAATTTACAACAGCTCTCATACTTACAAACATTAGTAGAGAAGTTTAAGATGATACTTAAGAACTTTATTCCAACCGGGCTAATTTTAAGGTCTGTGTTTCATTATACACTGAGGCATCGTTAAAAAATCGGCTATGGGTATTTCTGTGGTGTCCATTGGTGCACTGAGCACATGCTTAATTTGCTCAATAGTTAATCCAGCACTAAGCCACAATAATACCATATTCCCAATTTACAAAATATACGTTGTTTGCACTTTTGAACTTTGCTACAACCATCAGGAACCGAAGTGGTGACAGGAACACGAAAACTTCGAGTGCCTTGGTGGTTGAAAGAAAGGTCAAGCAAGAGTAAAACCGATATTTAGGACAAGGTTAATAGAGTCAACGGGGCTCCCGAAGTATGCGAACCAAGATGGCGGACATCGGAATGTAATATGTGTACTAGGTTAGGGTTAGGCCATAATTTTAGGTATAAATACTACGGGAGGCTTTTGGCTAGTCTTCGAACTGATAATAGGACTAAAATAAGGAAAATTGGAAAAAAATTATCGCCTAACCCTAACCTGTTACCCATGTTACGTTCCGATGTCCGCCATCTTGGTTCGCATACTTCGGGAGCACCGAGACAACACCGATGAAATCTGCACATTTCATGAACGAGCTATAACACTTAGTGTTCAGTAGCTAATGACACTTTACCGATCGCCGGTAACTTTGCTTGGAGGTTTGTCTCCTTTATTCGTGAACGAATAGCAATGCGTTGCTTTGAGCATATTTCCATAGAAAAGCGTTGAAATAGGATGCCAAAGTCCCGATGGCTAAAAAACCCGTGCGTAGAATTTTGTGAATAATATTATTGTACTATGCTAGCCGTCGTAGAGGGTGGTTCACCTGACCGCTGGTCGTTAAAACGTCCTTTTCCACCAAGCCGGTGAATCTGGAACAAACAACAGGTCGACTACTATCATATCCTGGAGACGGTGACCGTACATTTGAACCCACGTACATTTGAACCCGTGCGTATATCCACGGGCTCAATCTATATGCGGGTGCTAAAACCCATGGGTTAGGGTTAGTATGGGTTTAACTATCCGTGAAACAAAAAAAATTCCATAGGTGCAATAGCATACAGGTGCAATTGTCATGGGTTCAAATGTACGTGGGTTTAAGGAACCCCTGGAGACGAGTGGGAATTCTTTGCTATATGATAGGCATTTAATCAACTTAGCGGCTTACTGTTCCTACGGATTCAATATTACTCTTTTTTTTAATATATACTTCTGTTGCTTGCGCTCAGACTTTCTCCTCTCATCCAAATGGCACTAATGTTCTTACATCTAGAGCACAGATGGCTGAAAGGCCAAAGACTAGCAAATGTTTGTCAGTCCTATTGAATACAAAGATAAATTATATTAAACGATGTACACTAAATAAATGCAAGTTAAATCATTTCATTCGAGACCGGGTCGTGGCCCCGGTGGCCTAATGGATAAGGCATTGGCCTCCTAAGCCAGGGATTGTGGGTTCGAGTCCCACCCGGGGTGTTAAATAATTTTCGCATATTCCCAGCGCTCAGCATGATCCGCCACTTAAGTCACGTAATTATACATTAACTTGCCCATACAAGTCAGGATACTCCGGGTACTTGCATTCTCCAATAAAAATTTCCGTTTTGTGCAAAGATCACTCAAAGCTGGATAAACTGAAATCAGTCAACAGCGCATAGCGAACATTGCAGGAAGCCCTGGAAACAATTCAGAGGCTGATTAGGCCAGACGTCTTTACCTACTCTACAACTCTTACATGATACATTCAAAATACTGACAATATTATATCGCTTACTTTTCACTAGTTGCACACGTTTCTACTGTTTCTTCTTCGCATCTTCTTTCACGCTGGAATACATTTTTTATTTCACTTCACTTAGTATATACACTTTGCATGTACGATAAATGTAAAAGACTGACTGACTGACTACTGCAGTCGAAAGCGAGTTATACTTTTCAGAGCCTAGCGCTTCCATTTTATGCGAATTCTTTGTTTGTTTACGTAAAACTCTCGCTTTAATAAAACAAACTTACCCATGTCTCGCCTATTTAACATCCCGCTGAGTTGGTTTCGCGTTATCATGTGAAAATGACACCAAGATACGAAATTGTGTTGCCGAAATGTTAATAAGAGCCGGTATATTGTATGTAAGTCGTTCATTTCAACTCTTTTAATTTGTGCATACGCAATATTTCGCCGCCTTTCAATTATATACAGGGTGTCCATAAAGACGTAGGTGTCCCTTTACAATTTCAATTTTGTTATGAAGTTACCGGTAGTTCTCAATGTTCGATAAATTTGCTTGCAGTTTCAAAAAAAATTTCAAGATCTAAGATCAAGTTTATAGACACCCTATACATCATTCTGCAAAATTAAAATAAATATGATAAAAATCGCATTCCGGGGTGAAAAAAACAATCAATTGACCACTCTGCATATTGTAGTTATATTTTCCTATGAGAGATTGTGATATATATACATGTGTGTCTTTTTTTCATTCAGGTAGTGTCTTGAGATTCGAAATATTGCTGGCGAAATGTTAATTAGAGCCGGTATAGTGTTATTTTGCTGCCGGTTCGATTGTATTCATTATGTTGAAAGTTGAAACTTTTTCTGTGTAAGTTAAGGTTTGGGCCTTGCTCGGGAGCAGAGCCGACCTATGACCACAGTTTGATAAGCCTCCGCTAATTCTAAGTGTTTTTGATTGAATTTAAACATTAGGAATTACATAATCATTCCGTACATGCAACCCGCAAGTATACACATAAGCAGATACATTAATTTGCTTTTCTATACTAAACATTTTAGAGCGATTTTAGGTTTGGGCCTTGCTATGGATATGGATTCGGTTTGAGTAGCCAAGAAGGAAGTTAATAGATTCAGGTTACTTATACGTGGCTGCTGTTGCGCATATAACTATGCCCTTTGAAGTCTTCTGCACTGATAGTTATGGCGAGTTATTGCACTCCAATTTTATCCCTGATCCCAATAATCAGTAATTTATTTCGGTGACCGTACATTTGAATCCACGTACATTTGAACCCATGTGTATATCCGCGGGTTCAATCTATATGCGGGTGCTAAAACCCATGGGTTAGGTTAGTATGGGTTCAAATATCCGTAAAACAAAAAAATTTTCTGTAGGTGCAATAGTATGCAGATGCAATCGTAGTGGGTTCAAATGTACGTGGGTTCAAATGTAATGGAACCATATATACATATTACAATCTCTCATGGGAAGGTATAACTACAATATGCAAAGTGGTCAATTAGAGATAAATTTAATCCATGGGTGCCGCCGCTTTTTTTGTTTTACGGAAATTTGAACCCATACTAACCGTAACCCATGGATTTCAACACCCGCATATAGATTGAACCCGCGGATATACACATGGGTTCAAATGTTCTTGGGTTCAAATGTACGGTCACCGTATATATATATATATGCAGTGGTGGGATTCAGCCAGTTCGCACCGGTTCTATGGAATCGTCTCACGGAATTTAATGAGATCAGCGAACCGGTTAGCATTACTAAAAAAAAAACGTGTAACAGAACCGGCCGAAAATATGAATTTTGTGATGGAACCGGTTGATAAAATATTTGAATCTCACCACTGTATATATGTCGTATTTGCATCCAAGTAGCGTCATGAGATACAAAAATTTGTGTTCCTGAAATGTTCATTATAACCGGCACATGTAACTCTTTTATTTTGTACATATACAATATATTGTTGCGGGTTCAAAAATGTACATAGTGCTGCTTGTCAGCTTAGCTCTATCTGAATAGTTTTGGCATTGAAATTGAGCCAAAATTTGATAAATCAAAAATTTAAATTTATTTAAAGTAGAGTTAATTCTGCATGGTTGCTATAATGGTTATTTCAACTTTTGATTTGTGCATGTGTTATCTGAAATTATCGATCGGGTTTCTGCGGGACTAACAACTTGTCCTTCTGCTATTCTTTTGTGCCGATGTATCCGTTTGAATATAATACAAGAATGCTGTAGCGAGAGTGAAGATAACTATCCTTGGTGATTCAAAAGTCTTGCTGTACACTAACACAAATATATTTCTGTAACGTTTTATGTGACCAAGGTCACACTTTCCCAGACAAACGTTATTTAACTACTAATAAGACCCTTGAATTACTCAGGATTGTTATCCGAAGGTTATAGCCGCCCGGCCCGGCACAAATAATTCGAACCCATGCGATCACGTAAACTTTACGATCTTTTAAACTTTCCCTATCCCTTATACACACGACATTAATCGTTGAAGTTATGTTGATTTGGAATATGCAAAGAACGGCAGAAACTTATACTAAGTTTAACTTGAACTAAAAATGAGATTATCTGGGAATATATTATTTATCATAACTTTTGTGGATTTGCAGCTGTGAGACGATATGTGATTACTGGGACTGATTATGGCAATGGTAAATCAGCATTGGCTGACTGCCGTTTCCAGTCAATGTGCTCGTCGGGTCAATATGTGATTTAGCGCAATAATACAAATATTTAATTCTTACTGGATCTTCAATTTATTTATTGCCCAACTTATGTCTAGCAACCTTTATAATTAATTTATCTCCGAATTCGTTTTCGAAGTTGGGTATAGGGGGCATCGTTATCAGAAACTCGCACTGGGCAGCGAAAAAGTTTGGCACGCCTCTGCCTGACACCCATGGCGCATGGCCTGAAGAGGAGAGAGAGATTAATTTCCACAAACAATGAAAAAAACAATATTAAATAATCTCGATAATATTTATAGGGTTAGACTATAATAAAAACAGTATTAAACAATATCGATAATTTTTATAGAAGTAATCCAATTTATACATTCTTTTGTGTTGGCCAGTATGCAGGATCGTTGAAGGTCATCGAGACTCCTGACCAGTTCAACACTGTTACCAAAAAGTCGGAATTGAATGCTATAATATAAATATAAAAAAGACTGTTTAATCATCTTATTTGTTTGGTTGCTTCTGTACCACAGTACCAAATATACAATTACTATTGAGCAAAAATTCGATACCAAATATTGAATAAACTAGGAAATAAATCAGTAATCTTCAAATTTTTATTAAAAAAAAAACAAGCGACCCAAGAAAATTTCCAGGCGACCCAATTTTCCAAGGTCGGGAGACACTGTTCAAGGTCATAGGTTCTCAAAGTGATTCCCTGGGTTTCGCGGGCCATTCGTTTACTTAATAAAATGCGGACATGGCTAATTTTGTAACTGTCTAAAGAAGCAATAAATACATCCGAGTCATTAAATAAAGGATTTTAATTATCTAAGAAACATTAATCGGTAAGTAACAATGGATGTTTGTTTTATTTCTATAAATTTATTATGGGACACCATACATGATAGTCAACCTTTCCATAACACCGGAAGTTTGAAAACCCTGATCTGGATTATATACGGTATATAAAGTGTGTATCGACCCAAAAGCTTTTTCTTCTAATCTGCTCGCGTATAGCATTGTTTGGATCAAAATCCGTTTAAATACTTATTGTCAAAATATGATGCTGACGCGTTCACATCAAGAGCACAGGTGGCTGAACGGCAAAAAATAATGAGTTATTGTAAGTTCTAAAGACAAATGTTGGCGCTTATTTCCATGCGTTACTTAGTCTTAAAGAAGTCGCGAAATTCAATCACAGTATGCCGATGCAATTGCTGCATAATATTTACAATTAGGTGTACGTAATTTATTAAAAAGGCATTTAAATTACAAATGACTGATATAATTTTTCTATTTATGTTTGGTAAACTTTGCTTGCTGCGCCCCGGTGGCCTAATGGACAAGGCATTGGCCTCCTAAGCCAAGGATTGTGGGTTCGAGTCCCATCCGGGGTGTTTTCTTGCCCAAGAGCGAGGTATTTTTTTAAGTACGTATGTGATTGGTTTTAAAAAAGTTATCATATGTGGGTGCCACAATGACTTTATTGACACCCTGAAGCGGCGAGTAGACCTTCCACAAATTCAAGTATGAAAACATATAGTGCCCGCGATTTGATTTTCATATTTATCTAGGAAGAGAGGGTAGCCGATAAGATGGATCAATTTTATGGCGTCAAAACTAAAATTGCGCACCTTGTGGCGAGATCGCGATTTTTGGACACGAAATGGACATAACGATCGTTTCAATATTATGTTGTTGTTGTTGTTGTTGTTGTTGTTGTTCTTGTTCTCTGACACGTTTTTAAAAAGTCGCTTTTCTCTTCGAATACTGGACCAATTGCTTTGAAATTTTCAGTGGTTAAAGAATAATTTTTTCGCTAGAAGGCTATTACTTTTATTTATTTCAAAATTTTGCGTGAATTCTATGAAATTTGATATTTCGTCTAAAATTTTGCTGTATTATTTTTTATCCATGGGAACACGGATTTTAGTCAGTGTCATGACTGGCTGTACGTTTTGATTCTGCAAATTCTTGCTACTGGAAATTCAGAACTTTTTTGAGGGTACCGGTAGCGTCAAAGGTACCGGTAAGGACTGATTTCGCTCTGGTCTAACGTGTCCATATATTTGTGCGTAGCTCTCTTGTTTTGTATATATTGCTGAACCCGTCTTCAATGTTTTTATGACACCATGGCAGACCGGTTGTCTCTTGTGGCAAATTATATACCCGTGCTACTTCATTTTGGCTTTCGTGTCCATATATTTGAGCATCGCTCTCTCTTTATTTCATTCGTTGGATTATATTATAATATTTTCCTGATTTGAATACCGGGTTAAATATTCATGATATCCGACACCGACGGTAACCGGACGAGAAGCTGTGGACCTAGTACGTTATGTAATTAAGACGTCTTATCAGCTCCATGTCATCTAGGATAAATATAAAAAAAAAACATATAACAGTTACGGCTTCCTCCACCATCAAGTCCTTGCTTCCGAAAACAAATAACTGTCTAACTAATCCCATGCCCGACATGGAATGGTAACTGGACGAGGGGCCCCGGTTTACCATAAGGTTAAGTCGTCTTATCGGCTTAACTCTCCCCGGGATAAATATGTAAGTTCCTATCCAATTATACACTCCGTGCACCACTAGTTTCGCCGAAACCGGGAAACGAGGAAGTTTTGTTTGTTGTTGTCACGTGCTGGTCATGCATGATTGAAAGTCAAAGGGAAGGTGGTTTCTGTTTGAGGAGTCATCAAATATTTTGCGGTTAAAGGCTGTCTCATTACATTCCAGAATCCCTTTTGGTATATAGTATTCAGGTATATTAGTGTATGTGTATAATATACTCACACAAAACTCAGAAAAGTAGCCTGGCAGAATAATCTGAACATAATATGGAGGTAATTATTCTGTCAGACTTTGAGTCTATACGGTATCTGCTTTCGAGCTGAACTGAATTGAGTAATCTGAAATTTTATTAACTAGTTATTAGAGTAGCTTAGAAGAATTTTCCAAGAATTCGGACGTATAATTGATGGCTTAGCACGTTGTGGTTCTATCTCGCCCAGTAATAGACCAGACTGGATTTCATAGCAGGTGCCAGTCTGGATTTCATGGCCTTTTTGAACGAGAAATCGGGCGTGCAATCAGAAATTCCCGCGTGCAAATAAGAATTTCTGGCGTGCAATTATAGCTCACGGCGTGCAAAACAACTGCGCCCGCATTAGATACCTCTCAATACATCCGCGTAAAATTGCCAGTACCTGATAAAAAATACGTTGAATCATGGCAAAAATGGACGTTTCACCTTTGACCCCCAAACATTATTTATACAGTTTATCGCTGATTCTGAGAGTTTTTGTGCGACTTTGGATACTGGTACTGTTCAGCACATCCGCGTAAAATTATTGGATAAAAAATACGTTGAATCAGAGCAAAATGGACATACTTTGTCATTAATTTTAGAAGTGTTTTTATGTAGAATTAATGGATAAAAATACGCCAAATCAGAGCAAAAATGGACGTTTGACCTTTGACCCAAAACATTATTTCTATACTTTGTCACTAATTTTGAGAGTGTTTGTGCGGCTTTAGATACCGGCACTGTTCAGTACATCCGTGTAAAATTATTGTATAAAAAATACGCTGAATCAGAGCCATAACTGGCCAGCATCGGTGAGGAGGCGATCTTTTCGCCCAAAACTATTCTCACGGGAATCCCATCATTCAACACGATATGGTCTTTTTTGCTTCGCTTTTTTCGATCAGGCCAAATCTTGCAAGCTGGTATTAGTCGACAATTGTGGAGTTATGATTTTTTGGCATCTTTATATTACTGGATTATTGATTTAAAGACCATTTAAACCGATTTACATTGGTGAGCGATTGCAAATTTTCGGCGTGCAAAATTGAATTCGCTCGCGTGAATTTTTGCTGAGCGCAGGCGCCCTCAGGCGTGCATCTGCCATGGAATCCAGTCTGGTGCAGGTGCACGTCCGAGGACGTATTTCATAATTGCTTAGCAGTATGATGCATCGTGTTGAATGATAGGAATCACCTGAGAATAATTATGGGCGAAAACATTGCCAGACTCCTCGCCGTCGCTGGTCAGTTACTACTCTGATTCAGCGTATTTTTTATCAAATAATTTTATGCGGATGTACTGAGCAGTACCTAAAAGTCTATACCTGAGCAGTACCTAAATGACAATCTATAGAAATAACGCTTTGGGGTCAAACGTCCATTTTTGCTTTGATTCAACCTACTTTTTATCCAATACTGGTAATTTTACGTCGATCTAATTAACAGTATCTAAAGTCAGAGTCACTTACACCGGGGCGCAGTTGTTTTGCACGCCGTGAGCTATAATTGCACGCCGGAAATTCTGATTTGCACGCGGGAATTTCTGATTGCACGCCCGATTTCTCGTTCGAAAAGGCCATGAAATCCAGACTGGGTAATAAATACGTAAATCCTGAAATTTTATCGAAACTGCAGAATCTGAGAATGGTTCAGGTCAGTTTAAGTACTTATGTTTGTCTTGATAAGACTAAGACAGTTCTATTCGTTCCTGCAAATGTCAGATTTTTCATAATTCAGTAACTGCATTCTGTCATTTGTTATTTTGGAAATCATTTTTGAATTTTTTGAAATTTTTCTTCCAACCTGGGGGCCTCAAAAATGTTTATTTTCATATGAACTACTATGAACGTAATATTTGAGAAAAATGTTGAGTTATTTTAGCAGTTATTTCATCAACTCTTCTTTGTAATTGTTTTCATAATAGTTAATAAAAAAATATTTCTGGTCGGTTGGCTATGTGCTGTGAACACAGCAGCCATCATTTTGCGGCTACTTATGAGTGAGCTAGCAGCAGGATAAAAATAAGTATGAAAATTGGATATAGTTCTCATACGAAAAGTAGAGAACAGCAGTGGCACAGTTATCTGATTTCAAGAATAGCCCCCACAATAAAAGACGTCAATTATGACAGTGAATGCAAACCCTTCCTTTATGAGTCAGTCTGGGCCCCCATATCATAATAAATCGACAAACCAGCATTGCACAATAAACTCAAAGTAAGCGCAATTCAAAAACGTCACATTGGATTTCTTCGAGAAAAAAAATAATCTGATTTACAGTAGGAAAAAACTTTTACTCTATCATTCAAGAGTTTTCAGCAAAAAAACGGACCTCCTGAAGTATGCGCATCAAGATGACGCACAACCTGAACATAGTTTGTGTACCAGGTTAGGGTTCAGGCGACATCTTGGTACGCATACTTCAGGAGCACCAAAAAAACAATTTTGGTCATTTTAATTAATTTGCGAATCAATTTCATCATTTTATTCAGTGGGCTGATATTTTTATTCAGGGTATTGTAATTATGTTGTTATATAAAGTCTAAGCTACTGGAATATTCAAGTCATCGTCGTCATGGTGACACAGGGATTTGATTCCCAACTTCTTGGAAAGCCGTCACACGAGGCGCTAGTGAAACTACAGGATTATGAATTGAAGTTACTGGATGTAAGATGTTTGTATGTGATATTGCATTTAATACCTATTCCCATATTGTTGACCATTGGTGTCATTTCCCGGCCATTAATTTTCTGTCTCAATTTCTTTGATTCTAATTTATTACTAGGTTAGGACAGGACTTTCCAAGTTTTCAAGCTCGCGGCCCCTTTCCAACATATCAAATTATTCCGCGGTCCCTGTTAAGACGTCATTGTCATGCAAGCGTACCGCTCCTCTGCTCCTGTGTATTCTCACGAAATCGTAAGATCAATGTTTTGCACTAGTTTTAATAATTGCGTTTTGAATCTAAAGTCAAAAAAAGCACTTTAACTATTGTAACAGCGTTACCTATATGTTTTATATTTTCCAGGTTATTAGAAAGACTGTCCTAGCTCGGATTAAATGCGACAAGGATTATGCGCAATCTCTACTATCAGTAGCAACAACAGGAGGAAAGATAGAGCCTCCGACACATTCAAGCCCACTGTATGAGGTAACTGATGAGATTTTCATATTTATATCAGTGATCTTCAAACTTTACTGATCTATGGCCAACTTCCAACGACTTTAAAATCCGCGACTCCCTGCACGTATTTTTTGTTTTTTTTTCGAAATAACATATACAGTTTGACTTTTTGTTATTATATTCTTGTTAGACTTGCTTATGAGTGTCGCTGCGCGATAACCGAATTTGGTTTCTCGCGGCTGCTTTCACCCTGAAATGTTTTTTAATTATTTATTGCAATTTGTAAATCAAGTGTGCTTTCAGTATGGTGAGAAAATAAACTACAGATTACTGCACCTCAATAAAAAAAATTTTTTTATTGTGTTTCTAACATTTATTTCTGTTCACCATATTTGATAATTAAAAACCAACAAACATGTTCATTACAGTCAAAAAATAAAACGAATCATCTTTTAAATGGCGCAGGTTCCCAGAAATTGTGTAACTGTTCTACAGCTTTATTTATTTATAAAATGTGTGGATGATAGAGATAACTTCTATAATACATGGATACAAGACAGTTATTTGGGGAGTAAATATTTTATACAATGCGTGGTGCTCCCGAAGTATGCGAACCAAGATGGCGGACATCGGAACGTAACATGGGTAACAGGTTAGGGTTAGGCGATAATTTTTTTCCAATTTTCCTTATTTTAGTCCTATTATCAGTTCGAAGACTAGCCAAGAGCCTCCCGTAGTATTTATACCTAAAATTATGGCCTAACCCTAACCTAGTACACATATTACATTCCAATGTCCGCCATCTTGGTTCGCATACTGCGGGAGCCCCCAATGCGTGTATATTGGGGGTAAAAAAAGATTTATTGTTGTGATATATATGATGTAAGACCATGAGGTGACAAAATTCACTTGTACCGTTGTGACCTTGTCTTTTTGAGGTTGACATTCTATCCATGCACGTTTTGTGTGACTTGCTGCTTGGTCTTTACTACTATAAAATATAAATTTTGAAGTGCTTGACTCTTACAATACAGTAGTGTTGCAATGGTGCAACTTGGTGCTTGTTTATAATGAACTAAAGGCAGAATACACTAGGGTTTCTTTATTTTTTGCTTCCAAATAGTCTAGTTTATTTATGAGTGACCATTTGGCGCGGCGGTGTGGCTCAACGGGCTAAGCGTTAGGAATACGCTCGCCACCGCACCTCTGACTACTCTGCGTGGGTTCGCAGGTTCGAATCCCATGCAGGGATGGTTATGTGCGAGAGGATTGCTGGACTCCTCGCCGTCGTTGGGTAGTTCACGTAACCGCTGGTCGGTTACGGCTTCCTCCACCACCAAGTCCATGCTTCCGAAAACAAACAATACAGTAAAACTAATCCCATACCCGACTTGGAATGGTAACCGGACGAGAGGCCGTGGTTCGCCATATGGATAAGCCGTCTTATCGGCTTTCCTCTCCCCCGGGATAAATATGTAAAATCTTATCCTATCCTATCCTATATGAGCTGAGCATGATATTACTATGGCCAAATTACTTTAAAACTCAGTGACAAAATATTCTGAGAGCAATTATGATTTGTGTAATTATCATGTTTTTGTGTGACACTCATTCATGTCTTTGCGGACATGTGGTTTGACCCGCTATGGCATGCCAACATAGTTATGTTCACTTCGCCAAAATTTAATCTTCTATCAATACCTCTTATTAAGGCCTGGCAAGAACTAGTCCGCAACATGAGTACGCTGGGTCAATCATTCAAGCATCATTCTGATAAACTGCAATCAGCAACTATGGATAAGATAATGAATCTTTCCAAAGATAAGCATTCAATAAGAAAATGTTACGTTGAAAAAAGAGAAAAAATGGATTCTGAACTGATAAAGGTGAGTAATACCAGTGTTCCCTTGGGACACAAACACAGTTTAACACAGTAGATATTAAATTCTCTAAGAACTATGCCATATAAAAATCTTATCTATTTAATTTCTTTTTTTCCCAGATTATAATGACAGAGCTTGACAAGCGACATAACCATTATGTGAAAACAGAGAAAGAAGCCAGCATTGCTAAAAGGGATTATGATCAGGCAGTTGACAAAGGTAAGGGCAACTTTTCCCGACTGATTGTCATTTTTGGGAGTAAATCTTGCTTTAATGTAGTATTCCCTAGTTTTTTATTATGACCATAATACTCATTTATGCACTTTTTATAAACTGCCTAAACGGGCCGCAAGATAGGAGTCGATACCGGTATAATTGAATTGTTATGAATACGCATACACATGGCTAAACTGTGATAATGACACTGCTAAAAGTATGAAGTTCAATGAGTCTATTGTTTCTTAGAGGCAATTGGTCGGCAAGGTTGCTGAACTCTGCTTTACAGTAATCATGATTGTTTTAGTGCGCACATGCTTTCATAACATGACTGAGCGCTTGATATGAAAGATATAAGTTTTCTCTCAACCTTAATTTCAATAATTCTGCTCATTTTGAAACATTTATGAGTGATTGAAAATTGAAATCCTCACAGGATGAGAAAAGTTTCAACTCCCAGAGGTCTGTAACACTGACCTTGGATCAGTGTACAGGGGACTATAGATGAAGGGGGATAAATATCTGAAAAGGTTGGAAAGACTGTTCTGACAGATGCAGTAAAACTTTGAATCAGTGCTTTCCAACTTTTTACAGTTTGCAATCCACTTTTATCATAATTTTTTCTGTATGTTCTGTCAATAAGATGTTAATACAGGAGAAAAGCTTGGCAATGCCGCATAATTTTAATTGCTACATTGTTCTATAATTGTTACATAATGATAATACTCCAATTTCCCGATTCAATCAAACTGTAAGTAACATTTAAAAAGGCGCTTCCGTAGTATGTACAACAAGATGGCGAGCACCTGAACATAGTATGTGTACCAAGTCGGTGTCAGTCTATAATTTTGTTCCAATTTTCCTCATTTCGCATAATTTCAATTGCTACTTTGTTCTATAATTGTTACATAATGCCTCAATTTTCTGATCTATTTGGAAACTGTATGTAACATTTGGAATTCTTCGCAACTCACGTTGAATAGCTTTGCGGCAATAACTGCTCTAAATTTTTATTGGATTGAAACAAAAAATTTGAATTTTTTTTAAAGGAAAAACCCCTGCAATCGAGAAGAGCCAAGATAAATACAAGAAAGGAACAATGAAGCTGCATCAGAGCCATAATGATTATGTGTTACATATTACTGAAGCTACACATCATCAGCATTATTATAGGTATGTAGGAAGGGAACTCCCCTTAGGAGTTCTTGGGGAGGACCTGCAGTTTTTTTTTAATATTGAGGAGTGGGGGTGTTACGATGAAATAATATAATTTATATTTTCCATTTTATTGTTTTGTATTGCATATTGATGTGAACTCATCAATTATAGGTATGTTGAAAGGGAATTCCCCATAATTTTTAACAGTTGGGGAGTAGGAGTGTTCCTATTTTCGTTTTGTATTGCATACTGATGAAGTGGACGCATTAATTATTATTTTGAGGAGGTAAAAAGGGAACTTTCCTATTTATTTTTTTGTTATCCTTGGAAGGTGTGGGATGTTAAAAAAAATAATAGATTGTTATGTATATTACTGAGGTCTCCCATTAATAATATTACAGTTATGTAGGAGGGGAAATCCCCTTTTTATTGATGTGGGAGGATTATTAGTTGCGAGAATTGACGGAGACATTGTTTCTTCGGGCCTCCCGAAGTATGCGAACCAAGATGGCGGACATCGGAATGTAATATGTGTACTAGGTTAGGGTTAGGCCATAATTTTAGGTATAAATACTACGGGAGGCTCTTGGCTAGTCTTCGAACTGATAATAGGACTAAAAAAAGGAAAACTGGAAAAAAATTATCGCCTAACCCTAACCTGTTACCCATGTTACGTTCCGATGTCCGCCATCTTGGTTCGCATGCTTCAGGAGCACCGTTTCTTCAATATTATGACAAATGTGAGACAATGTTTATTTAGTATGATATAGGACTGACGCAGATAAACTACGGCCTCCGGGCCAAATCCGGCCCGATGGGTAATTCGATCTGGCCCACCTGATGCTGCCACAACCAAACTAAAACCAAATTCTGATATTTTAGCTAAAAAATAGCTCAAGGAATTGGTTGAGATTGTGGTTAAATTTAGTTTTGGCACGAGGCGTATTGTTTTTCACTTTTGCTTTTGTAACACTGTAAATATTGTTCATAAAATGTAACTTTTTACGTCACACTCACATGGCTCGCCAGTCTAGTTGAAAAACAATGCCCATTCCTGATATAATATAGACCAAGGGTTCCCAGAATTTTTGTAAATAAATCAGAGTAAATTAAAATTACTTTATTTAATGATGTATTTGCTACTTTGTAGCCTATTTAAAAAACCTTCAAATTGTGTCAACAAGGCGGTGAATATAATATGGCGTTGTCTATTGGAACCTATTATAGATAATTTCATATTTAGACGACTGCCATTTTGCCACGTTTCGACGCTACCATTTTCAAATTTCATTTATGCCATTTTTGCTTTTTTTGGCAATTACAAAATTAGCCAAGTCAGTATTTTAATAAGTGAACGAATAGCTCGCAAAGCCCTAAGTTTTTCTCACTGAACCCTGGGACATATAGAACACTTCGAGAACCTAAGATATCGTGGATTCTAGATTTCGAGTCCGTTAAATTGTTTATTCCTTACTTCAGATTTACCTGTGGCAGTTGCCGCAAGGATGCTTAAATGAGATTATATTGGAGTGATAAATGAGAATAACGTAATATTTTCAAAATCTCCATCAGAATTAGTTGGTGGTAGACTGGTGGCATTCATACTTATATGTTTATGGTTCCTTGTTGGCAAACTATCATTAATAAACAGACAGTCTGACACATGCAATGACGTGTAGTTAGTCATGTTTTAAATAACATTAATAATGTGGCATCGTAATTCAATATTTTTTCGTGATATGAGGCAACTGTCTGGCATCTATAGTTGCATTGCATTGGTACAGTGTGCATTGTTCAAACAGTTCGAATATGTTTGCTATCACACCTCTGATTAATCTTATGGGTGATAATTATGTGCAAGAGGATTGCTCATCATTGTAATGTAACTGCTGGTCGGTTACAGCTTCCTCCACCACCAAGTCCATAAATCTGAAACAAATAACATAGACATGGACTGGGTAACTGGATGAAAGACCATGATTCACCATATGCTCAAGCCTCATGGATATTCTTCTTCCTATCTTGATTACTTGACCAATTGCTTTTAAATTTCCAGTGGTTAAAGATGGAATTTTTTTCCAGAAGGCTGTTACTTTTATTTATTTCTAAATTTTCTATAAAAACCGATATTTCATTCGAAATTTCGCTGTATTAACTTTAACGCATGGGAACACTGTTTTAAAATTATTTCAAGCGGTTTGCTTAATGTGCAAACCAAACTTGGTCCTATGGCCATTTCAAGCCCTGAATGCTGATTGTTTCGTTAAGTCTATGATGTCATAACGTAGACCATCATAAGCCTTGCTGCGGTAACAATTTGATGTCGAAGCATGAAAACTTGCCATTGTTAGAGTTTTGAAGAATGTCCTGAGCTCAGTGACAAAGCCATCAAATTGCTGTTCATTTTTCGTATAAATTACTTATATGAGAGAATTTTGAAAGTTCACCGACCCGCAAAATTAGTTTTGAAATTTTATCGGTCCGCAAGCTAAAAAAGGTTATCACTGTTTTAGAATAAGTGCTATCTATGTAAAAAAAATTTAAGTGGATTTTCCTAATTGAGCATAATATGCTCGATAATAGCACTTTATAGAAATCTGTAACTTTATTCAAATGTAATTTAAAAATAATTTTCATATATTGTAATATCCGTATTTTGTTTTGTCCTAAAATTTTTTAAAATCGCCAAGGGAATTTATCGATACCATATATTGTTTTAGCCCTCACAGATGTATCAAAGAAAGTCCAAATACCTGAACAATTATTGAATGAAAACAACAAACCTGGTTATTAAGATATATTGAGAACTGACTTCATACCAAAATTGAAATTGTGAAGGGACTTCATGGTACATTTTTATGTCATGTCAAGAATTTTTTTACTGAAGGCATAATTTTAGAATGTTTGCTGTCTAGATAGACTTTCATAACTTATGGGGACATGTTTATTAATAGCAGCTGACATTCTATTTCCACAGATACACTCTACTTCCTGAGCTGATGGGAAATTTAAATTATATGCAAACAGAGGCAGCTGCTACATTGTGAGTCATAATGCATTTCTTGTTTCTAACAATAGAGTTCTGTTTTCGAGGATGACACCGTCACCATTGACTGAAAATATTTAACTATTCTGAAATAATGTTTTGAATATAATAATCTAGGCCAGATAATTATGGGTGAAAGGATTCTTGTTTTATAGATGTTTTCTTGTCTTTAGTCAAGTGCATCCAACAGAGCAGGGGAGCCACAATACCAGGCGCCAAATTGACTTTATTGCAATTTTTTTTTTTTTTATAAAAAAATTCTTCGGTCTCCCTAGTTTCATTACCTGATAAGGTTATTTCACAGGATAGTTTCACTTTCTCCTGTATGAATTGTTCAGTCATAATGGAATTTGGAATCTATGAATCAAAATAGCACTATAAATACTTCTGTGCTTCGCGGTTTCTAACTTTTATAGCCTGTTACCAGCCCATCTGACCTGCAGATAACGGTCGAACCTAGTTTACTGAATAAGGGCAGTTTTACTAGACTGCGAGATAGCCGTCATAAATGTATTGTAAGCACAGAAAATTATACTTTCAATTTTAATATTCAGAAACAGAAATTTCATATTTTTAGACTGCTGAACAGGGGGGCCACGAGTGTTAAAACTCTCAGAAATGGGGCCAAAAGCCACACACGGTTAGGAACCACTACCCTAGTCCGTTGTGGCTTCATCTACCATCAAGTCCATGCATTTGAAACAAATAACTGTTAACTGCCCACGTTACCAATATAGATTGGTAACTGATGCTGTTACCTGTACCACCAATGACTGAAAACAATATGTTACTTAAATTGAATATATAGGGTGTCCATGAAGTCTTAGAATTTCTTAAAATTTAAAGGGAGTTTATCGATACCATACATTGTTTTGGCCATCACAGATGTAATAAATGAATCGAAAATACTCAAAACTATTACTGATTAAAAAGCAACAAACCTGGTTAAGATATATTGAGAACTGACTTCATAACAAAATTGAAATTGTAAAGGGACTATTTTTATATCCATATTTTTCCTATGAAGTCAAGTTAGGAGAGCCTTGATGGGTGAAACTAATAAACATATGTCTGGAAAGTGGAAAACTCCAGTTATTTCCGGTTAAACGTTTGGCATACGTAGGGATGGGCAATATAGAATACCGAATCCGGAGGATTCGAATCCCAAAGTATTCGAATCCAACAGGATCCGATAACAGGATTCGGTTTCCGCCTCTCCGGCGCCATGCGTCGATTTTTGCATTTCGGGTTTCTAAATATCAATTAAAGACGAGCGTTTTTCTCGCGTGGAAATCTCTCTCGTTTAACTAGACTTGCGTCTGCCCGTAAAATCGGTAAACTTCAAACACTGTAATCTCAATCGGCGTATTCTGGACAGGAAGTCGGCGAAGTACATCTCAGGCCGAAGACTCGTTATTGCACCATTTTTGCGTTTTCGCCGGGCGTCAATTTTTGTATTTCGGATTTCTAATTTATCAATTAAAGACGAGCGTTCTTTCTCGCGTGGAAATTTCTCGTTTAATTAAACTTGCCTAATCGCAAAGAACCCGTAAAATCGGTAAACATCAAACACAGTAATCTCAATCGGCGTATTCTGGACAAGAATTCGTGAAGTACACCTTACGACGAAGACTCGTTATTGCACCATTTTTTGCGTTTTCCTGCTTTGCTATCTAGCGAGGGTTTAATAATAATAATTATTTGTGCCGACTTACTGGCGATATTACGATAATCTGATTGCAACAATCTTCAATTGTTTACAGGCGTGCCTTGCTTCATTTTACATTACTGTAAATGATTTTCCGCGACCGGCGAGTTTTCCCCAGAAAATGATGCATGTAAATCAAAAGCCAGGCGTAAAATGTTATGACATTACTTGCGATTGATTTAAATCAAATATTATTTTGGAATGATTTTATTACTTTTATTACACCAGTTTCCGAAATACAAAGTTATATCACATAACACGACGATCTGTCGCATTTAAATTTCACTCCCAAAAGATTACATATCTTTCAGTCCGTTTCTATCGTTCAAGATAGACGCACGTTTGATCGAGTGTCTGTAGTAATTTTATTCGCCGATAAACTTAAAAAAAAGATGCCGCATCTGGCGAAAATAGTTACGTATTGAGTTTGAGTAGAGCCAAGTCTGGGTAGATAATGATATGTAACAATAATAAAAGAAATTGAATTCGTCTTAAGATGATGTTAACTAATAACTAACTACGAAATCGCGTTTACGGGAACCTTGTTTTGCACGTCGTGATCGCACAGAATAATAAGTTGATTTTAATTGATAGTGGTTAAATTTAATATTTTACACCGGTGCATAGGTTGCAGTGGCCACACGCTGGTCCTGCATCTAATTAATTCTCAGCGGGTGTGTTTTAGTACACTCGACACTCTATAACATTAATAATGATTTAATGCCGTTTCATATCTATTTTTTGTATTTAACCGCTTACTATTAAAGTGTTTGAAGCGTAATTCAGCATATAAGTATTTAGAGATTACATACATTTGGAACAATTGAAAGCAAAAATATTGTAATATTCTTAGATTTCATTGTCCTGGGAAATGCCTGTTTAGTATCAAATCAAATCCAATGTTAAGGACATTTCCAAATAAATAATACATTTATAGTAATACATTTATAATTTTTTGACATCTAAATCCAGCAATCAGGAAAATTCCCTCTATTTGAATAAGTATGAAAATAGAATAGGATTCGGTATTCTGGATTCGATTTAACTATTCTAGAATATTCTAGAATAGTAAATTATTCTACATTGCCCATCCCTAGGCATACGGTACCAATCTTCAGGAGCACACTTGCCATTGCACCTCTCATTACTGTACCTGGATTCGCAGGTTCGAATGTTGTTGGGGATGTGTAAGAGGATGGCTGGGTTTTCACCCACATAGGTCGGTTCACGTAACCGCTGGTCTGTTACGACTGGCCACGCCTGGCCACTCACTAACAAATAACTGGCTAACTGATCCCACTGGCTAACTGGCTAATCGACCTGGACTGGTAACCGGAGGAGAGGTCGTGGTTTATTATATAATTAAGCCCTCTTATCTTAGTCTTCACCTTTTCTCAAAAATGAGTCTTTTTTTTACTTCTGAGTGAGTGTACATTAACTCGCTTTAAACAATTTTTTTTATGATGATTTCCTTGGTGGCCTGTAACTGTGACTAAAAATGAGTTTCCCCTATTTTTTAGTGAGTGTGCATAACTCTTCTTTAGGCAAATTCAAGTTTTCGAATTTATGGTAACCATTAAATTTCCAACTTTTAATTAAATTCTAGGCTGCAACCCAACTTCAATGAATCATATGTCTAATGTATTTTGCCAACAGTGACTTACGTGGGTGGGCAACACGTACGAGCCAACTTGCAAAATAACGTCTAATCTGATTTCTAAATGATTAAGAATCTTACCACACACTGATACAAATGTATCGAATTGTGATGATTTTTGTGTAAATTAATTACATAAAGATTAATTACCATATTGAACACTCGACAATGCCTTTTCACACAAGAAGGCATCTGCAGTGTGGCTCATCGATCATTTAGCTCAACTGGACTATAAGACGACAATGGGCCCAAAAATCTCACTTCTAAAATACAATTACCATTTCTGTAATGTTTTGTCTGATCAAAGTCAAATTTTTTTAGGCCGTTTTAATTCAACTGATATTTAATATTGTCTTGTATATTCTTACATATAAGCAGACCCCACAAAAACGCCCCTGAAATGATGAATTTATAAACATTTGCATATAAGCCAACCCTACAAATCTTAACACATAGCACATATCGAAACAAATGCTTTTGAGCAAACTTCCTCAAAGAGTTGTTTTGGTTCTTATAGGTAATACCTTGCTTCCTTATACAAATCCTTGAAGTTGAAAAACATACTCCGTAAAAAAATTAGTGACTTTATGATTGGCTTTTGAGATCTGCCTTTTATTTATTTGTATTTCCCACTTTTTGGAATAATTTTTCCTGGTCTAACGAATCAGTCTATTATGGTCTCGCAACAAAGAATTTGAATATGTTTTACCCAAATCAATTGTTTTTCACCAGTCATGGGGATTAGATAACGCATACATAAATATGGGTAGCAAAATGTCACAGCTCAATGGCTTCAGGCTCTGACTCCAGCCCTGATTCATAATTGGCCATATGTGAACATTGTTTAAGTTGATGCTGCATCCAGAAACTAATACGTCATTTCTCTATACTTTATGACTCAACAATTGGCTTCATGATATAAAAGTTGGCTCTTTTTATTGTCACCTAGGTACAAAATATTGAGAAATATGCACATGTCTGATTTTAAAATGGAAATTTTAGTTGAGCTTATGAGACAAAGTGTGGAATTTCGAAATATTTACTTTGTTATAATTGCGTATATCCATGAAGACATTATTTCAACATTCACTTGCTTGCCCATTTTTTTATTATGCTGCGTTTGACAGAACTGGCATTAAATTTTTTATATTTATATATATAAAATATTCTTATAGAGCATTAGTTCCCAACGGGGGCCCAGTGGCCCCTAAGAGGACCAAAGAGCAGTTGGATGGAGGCCACAATGCTAGACTCAAAACTAATTTTACTTTTCACTTTACAAGAAAATTTCCCTTTCCTCCTAGTTTCATGTTTCACAGGGTATTTTCACGTTATTGAACATGAAATGTTTGAACAAGGATTCAGAATCTATCAATTAATTAAAATAACACCTAAAATACCCCTGGAATGATAAACAGGGGTCATGAGTGCTAAAATCCACCGGAAGGGGGTCACAAGCCATAAAAGCGTGGTAACCACTGTTATAAAAACCTTATTACCTTTATTCGGATATCCTATTTTTATTGTTAAATACTCATACATTTGTCATTTTTCCCAGGAAAGAGATTCTTCTTGAGTTTGTGCAGACGACGTCTCCAATTACTGATGAAATTTGTTCGAGTCATCGAGAAGCAGAAAGCCGAGTTCAAGGTCTGATATCTGAGGAAGAATATAATGATTTCATCCAGACCAAAGCGTAAGTGAAAGCTTTTCAAATTTAGGTTTTAGTTCGTTTACTGTGTGTTATTAAATATCAATCATCAGCACTCCAGAAGTATGTGTACCAATATGGAGGTGACTAATTTTGTTCGCCAACTTTACATCAAGTTGTGTAAAGGGACGAGAGCCTATGGGCAGGAGGTATACTCACTTTGCTGACACAGACAGTCCTGGAACGCGTAATAGAACTGAAATAAGGCAAATTGGAATAAAATTATGGCCTAACCCTAACCTGGTACACATACTACGAGAGTACTCAATCATCTATTCCTTTGATTTTCAAAGGAGGAGAGGTTATGAAATTTCAAATTGGGAAAGTTAAATTGCAACAGGAGTTTTTCAAGATTTTTGAGGGTCTAAAAGACTTCTCAAGCTCAGAAAAAGGTTTCCGAATTGCAGAAATTGATACGGCTTGGGATTGGGTGTTCGTCAAAACTAAGATTCACAAATAGGGATCTGCGCCCCAGAAAGTTTGGGACACCCTGGTCTAAACTATTGTTCAGAGTAAAACAGAGTATTTTTTTACAGAACTCCTCTTGAAATGGAAGCCCATATTGGTTTTGATCATACTTTACTGAAAGGAGAGGCCGATAAGTTGCCGGAGAATGAACTTGTGCTGAATGCTCTGAGCATACAAGGAATTGAACATGCGTGAGTTTTTTTTTTATCGTATTTATTTATCACATTTATCCTTTTGGAAGAGGAAAGTTGATAATACGGCTTAATCATATGGTGAACTACAGCCTCTCATCCCCCAAATTTTCAACATTTTTTTTTAATGCAATTTTGCGGCATTTGCAGTAAAACATAGAATTATACGTCTTTTCCAACACCATTTGATCTATTCTTGAACAATTTACTAAAAGACGAAAAGACGTCTCAATCATAGGGTGAACCACAGCCTCTTCTCCGGTTTTCAGTTGGGTATGGAATTAGATAGCCAGTTATTTGTTTTCGGAAGCATGGACCTAATGGTGAATAAAGCTGTAAACGCCCAGCGGTTACATTTTATCTCTGTGCTTGACTCTAATGAAAATATCATGTTCGCACAGGGGTTCCCAAACCAGGGGTCGCGACCCCAAATTGGGTTGGAATGATAAGTAGGTCTAGATATAAGTAGATAAGTAGGGTCGCAAACAGGTCATGGGGTCGCTGAGGTATGATAGAGGATGGATGTACAAAACATCTGAGATTTGACAAACCATGTTAAATTTAGCAGTTTGTACCATGGCTTACTGTAAAACAGGCCCATTGGCATCGCTCTATGCTTATGCTATAGAAAATGTAGGGGCTTATTGTGAATCATTGTTTGGTTTTAACTAATTTTACTTAATACCACCACATGACTAAACTCAAAAGTCCAGTGAAAGAAGCTCTAAACTTTCATGAAAAATATATATATTGACCTGGGGTCGCACTGGACACTTGGAAGTTGTCATTGGGGTCGTCCTGAAAAAAGCTTGGGAACCCCTGTGTTAGCAGGTATCCTCCAGTTTTCAGCAATACTTAGATAAAAAATCAGTGCCCTTGGTTTGTTTAATAGTGAATGTAGATGTAAATTAATCTTCCACTCATAGTCCATTAAAGAAAGCTTGAACAATCCAAAGTTTTGGAATAGTTGATATTTCTATTTTTCTTTGAATCAAAACTTTTTACAATACGGGATCGAGAGTCTTGAGTCTTAAAATTTTTTTTAACTCCGTGTCGATTGGAAATTTTCCTGACACCACAGCCCTGCGTTTAACTTACACCCCGGTAATCAGTGCAACCCACAAGCTACCGGTAATGTGTAAACCTTGCCTAGGCACACATAAAGTTTGCCAATCACTGCTCTAAAACGTTTCACCTCTTCTAAATTCCAGTTGCCATACTTTCCAATTTGTTACTATGTGTGCTGTTGTTCAGTGTACCGGTATGTCTTGTTGTAGTTAACCCACCGTGACTACTGTTAGTTAAGATTAACACAGAATGTGGCGATAGTTTGTTTATAGGCGATAATAATTGATGTGGCCTGCAAGGTATCGGAAATGTGTATATTTGGCCCATGAGTACATAAAATTTGCCGATAACTGCTCTAAAATGTTTCACCACTTCTGAATTCCAGTTGCCATACTTTCCAAGAAGATTTAGACACGGTCAAAGAACTATTGGATCAAGATCGCCAAGCTCTACAAAGCCTGCATCAGGAAATCGAGCAGATTACTAACAATCTAGATAATCTGAGGTTTGGAAATTTTTTATGTGTTTGTGTATTTTTTGTTGTACTAACTTTATGTGTGTGTGTATTTTTTGTTTTACTAACTTTATGTGTGTGTGTATTTTTTGTTGTACTAACTTTATGTGTGTGTGTATTTTTTGTTGTACTAATTTTATGTGTGTGTATTTTTTGTTGTACTAATTTTATGTGTGTGTGTATTTTTTGTTGTACTAATTTTATGTGTGTGTATTTTTTGTTGTACTAACTTTATGTGTGTGTGTATTTTTTGTTGTACTAACTTTATGTGTGTGTGTATTTTTTGTTGTACTAATTTTATGTGTGTGTATTTTTTGTTGTACTAATTTTATGTGTGTGTGTATTTGTTGTTGTACTAACTCTATGTGTGTGAAGTTGTACTGATTTGAGGTACTTTATTTATGTGTATTACATTATCTGACTTGGGAAAGGTTTTATGTTGGGATTTTATTTCTGTTATACTATTTGAGTTATCTTTTATGTGTGTGTGTGATTTTAGTTGCTCTAATTTGAATTGTGTTTTGTATTGAGTTATATGTGTATGTGTTTTACATCTACTAATTTGAAATGTATGTGTTATTGTATTCAATATAATGTTATGTTTTATTTGTGTGTTCCCAGATCCAGTATTTTGAATTATTTACTCTGTGTATGTGTTTTTAGTTATGTTTCCATGTGTGTATTTTCTGTTGTACTGCTTTTAAGTCTTCTAGTGTTTGTGTTTTTGAGTCCGCTTATATGAGTTGTATGTGTTTTGAGTTTACATATTTGTACAAGATGCGTTGGAATATTTCAAGTTGTTTCATGTGTGTGTGTGTTTTTTAGACCCTTATGTGTATGTGATGTGAAGTTTCCTTTCCAAATTCATTTCTAGTTTATTTTTTTATAATTTCAATTTTAAAATTCTGACATAAGAACATTATTTACTTTGGATAATAATGTCAGATACGGTACTTTCTTACTTCAATCATTGTGATTTTTTGTTCTAACTTTCATTAATTATATTTTTAAATCAATTAACCAATATTCATTATTTAATTTATTTTCTGTTTTTGTTGTTTCTGCATGTTGGTGTTACCTGCACGTTTCACATACACATAGACGGAATTTTGAAGAATCACACATCGGGTAATATGTGTTTTTAAGTGTTTTTGTTTGTTATGTTGTAACCATGATGGCCCAGTCCACTATTTTGATTTTATCATCTTGAGTTTTTGTTTCAATTTGTGTTTTGAATGAAACATATTGTGACATCATTGAGAGTAAAAGCTTTAGCTTATGATGTCACAATATGAAGAAAATTATCAAATTTTTTATCTTCCAATCTCTTTAAGTTGATATAAAAAAGATTGATTAGAAAATCATTTTTATTATCTAGAAATTTTTGAATTTATAGTTTGACTAGGTTTTTGTAAAAAAAATGGTTTAAACTAGGTTACTAGGTTTGCATTCTTCAAACCTTTTAATATTCTTAACCATATAAATATTCATTCTTTAAAATTAGCTAATGTTAGCTAATGTTACGTCATACTTGATTTGATATTTCAAATTCATTTAGCAAATTTATTTCTTGCCATTGTTGTAAACTGCTTGTCTGAGGAAGTCTGACTCTGGTCGGACGAAACGTTACAGAAATACATTTGTGTTAGTGTGCAGCTGGACTCTTTAATTGTTTAAAATTAGCTGTTGCATTTTTTATAAATTGGGGAGGTGATTCACAGTGGAATTAGAACCCAGCATCTCAATTGCGATCCTACATTATAATTCCATGGCATCCACATAGCTATTAGACTTTATAATATTGGCATAGCATCTGGCATAGCATAGATTTCTGATCAAAATCTCACGCCAACTATTTCACTATTTCGGGTGTGATAAATTTGTCAAGCAAGGATGAACTGGTATTATCCTGGTCCTTCCAATATATTAGTATATTTTTTGCATAAACTTGGCAAGATGTACAAAGTTATATACAATGTAGAAACACTTCACTGAACAGAATTAAATATTCCTAATAACTCCTGATCTTAGAGTAGAGTACAGAGACATGCTTTGATTGAAGATTTAAAAACACCTCCTAAAGAATTATGCAATACTAAACTTGGGCAACAGTTATCTGAGCGGTTTCCGAAGGTGGAGATTTGCTGAGTGCGCCCAAAAAGCGCTGAACTTAGTTTAGCGAACATGAGTGTTTTTTTCAGTAAATAAAACGAAAATCATGCACAGATGAGGAGAAAGAGTTGAAATTTTGCTTTTATTCTTTAGGCTTACATGTTCACAAACTTCAAAAGGAATAAAGTATACGTTAACTATCACAAAATTGAGTTTTTTTTAAAGGCAGCAATTTTTTTGTGTGCGCTGTCAGTTTTTTCCTGATAATTAGGCTCCGCGCAAACAAATAGTTTGGGATCTGCTGAGTTATCTGATTTCAACATAGAATATCGACTTTGGTATCTGTCAATATTTATTAATGTCACAAAAGCAATATTGCTTGAGACAAGCCGTCTGGTTTAAAATTGAAACTAACAAAATCTTGTCATGCTCTGTGGTAACCGAACTAAATTATATTCAGAATCACAAATTCCTTTACCAAATTAAGCAAAAGAACTTCGGTGCTCCTGAAGTATGCGAACCAAGATGGCGGACATCGGAACGTAACATGGGTAACAGGTTAGGGTTAGGCGATAATTTTTTTCCAATTTTCCCTATTTTAGTCCTATTATCAGTTTGAAGACTAGCCAAGAGCCTCCCGTAGTATTTATACCTAAAATTATGGCCTAACCCTAACCTAGTACACATTACATTCCGATGTCCGCCATCTTGGTTCGCATACTTCGGGAGCCCCCTTTTTCAGTATATAAAAGGACAATCATGCAGAGATGAGGAGAAAGAGTTGAAATTTTGCTTTTATTCTCTAGGCCTACATGTTTACAAACTTTAAAAGAAATAAAGTATACGTTAACAATCACAAAATTGAGTTTTTTTTAAAGGCAGCAATTTTTTTGTGTGCGCTGTCAGTTTTTTCCTGATAATTAGGCTCCGCGCGAACAAATAGTTTGGGATCTGCTGAGTTATCTGATTTCAACATAGAATATTGACTTTGGTATCTGTCAATGTTTATTAATGTCACAAAAGCAATATTGCTTGAGACAAGCCGTCTGGTTTAAAATTGAAACTAACAAAATCTTGTCATGCTATGTGGTAACCGAACTAAATTATATCCAGGAATCAGGATGTTCATAAATTTCTTTATCAAATTAAGCAAACGAACTTCAATGTGCTTTGTGAAGATATTGGCGGTGGGCATATAAATGAAGTAAAACTTGAACAAATTAAAACAAATCTGGTTAGGATATATTGGGAACTGACTTCATAACAAAATTTCAAAATTATATGAAACTGTGAACGCCTTTTACTATTGGTAAAGTTCTGTTACAATTTCAATTTTGTTATGAATACAGTTTATTTTAATCAGTGTTTATTCACTTTTTTTATTTCATTCAAATACACCTTTTATGCCGCCATTATCTGCATGGATCACATCAAAGATATTTATCAAATTTAATATCGGACTTTATGCACATTCTGTTTTATCTTCATACACATTCGTTTTGATCCATTTTATATTTTTTTACTTTGTTATATATTATAAGATGTCTGCCTTTTCACTGTAAAATGTCAAATATTAGATGAGAATGATGAAATATTTGATTCGTTGGGGACATGTTTGACCTGTGACCTCGACAATCAAATACCATACACATCTGTCCAAATGCCTTATAGCAACCTTTAATCCAGTTTTCTTTAAACTTTTTTTTCATCACGGCCAAATTTTTCGTAATATCTCATTCCTCAGCATGTTCTTCAAATATAGAATTTTAAAAAACTATATGCGGAGTTGTGACGCAACAATAGTTTTGCCAGGTTCGATGTCTCATCCATGTTTGGTTTTGTTATGGGTGGGAAAGGCGTACTATTTGCATGTTTTTTTGGTGGTTTTTCAACGTTTTTGTGAGGTTTTTGGTGTTTTTTAACAAATTTTTTTACTTTTCTAAATAAAATTCTCTGTCCACTTTCCGGTAAGTCAAAAGTTTTTTCTCATTTAATCAAAATGTTTTCTTGTCGATACGTTTTTTGAAACATTGCCTCATTGAGCCCTTTTGCGGCCCACTGGGAAGTGGGGATCCCCTGTTTGAAGAGCCCTACTTTAATCAATAATACTCATCTTGTTTTGGTTTCATTTAAATTCAAAGTGAAAATCTTGAATTTATTGATTTTGGCAATTAAGTGCAAACAATAAAAATGTGAAAGTAACCGTTAAAATCACGCCTACCTTATGTTATATCAAAATAAACCATGTTCCTTTTATTTATTTTCCGTCTGCCAAAACCACAAATGGGGATTTTAGCCAGTTTTATTGACACAATACCGTGACCAGGAATGTATGAAATTTTTAGTTCAAATAAAATTGGTGTGGTTGTCTAGTAGTTGATGACCATAGTCATCGCCATCTCATGTCAAAATTTTGGGTCCAATTCCATGCCCTCACCCAGGTTTTCACTAACAAACAAGGACGTTAAAATTGAGTGGTATATTTGCGTTATAGTGTTTGTTTGTATTCATATATTTTCAGTTGCTGTGATACTGTCACAGTGTTTAAACGAGCATAATGTGCGCATATGTTGCGGGAATATCAAGTGTTAGTGGGTCGTTTCGTAAAGTTTGAAACATCAATACAAGTATTTAATGAAGTCACATTACAAAGATTTCTGAACGAATATATATAATAATTTGAATATGTAGCAATGCCATCAAGTCAATTTTATCAGAATTATTGACGAATATGCAGTGACGACATTTCTGAAACGCAAACATAACATAAACAAACTATTCACTATTTCGGGTGTGATAAATTTGTCAAGCAAGGATGAACTGATTATATCCTGGTCCTTCCAATATATTAGTAATTTTTTGCATGTACTTGGCAACACAAAGTTATATATAATGTCGAAACACTTCACTGAACAGAATTGAATATTCCTAATAACTCCTGATCTTAGAGTAGAGTACAGAGACATGCTTTGACTTTTGACTTTTTATTTTACATTGGCGGTAAAAACGAGCGACACGAAAAAAAGCATTCAATGTGAAATTAATTTGGAATTTAGGTTCCAAATTATTACGATAATTGCGTTCAGCGATCGTCGCCAATGAATGCACAGTTCTGCGAGAAATAAAAAAAAAATTGAAAAGTTTGCCTACAAACTTTATGGGGCTGGCTGCAAAAAACAGTCTGGCGGGCCGCGGGTTGGGCAGCCTTGAGCTAGACCAGGGTGGTCCAAGATTGGCAGCTCCGCGGGCCAAAAAATTACTTTTGCATTCTTTGTGGGCCACAATAGTGCCAAGAACTTTGCTCGTTTAACTTCGCTAGTTGCCTCAGCAAGCCATATCACTAGTCAATTCATTGACATTAGCGATACAACAATATGTCAAGGTTTTTTGGTTAATTTTATGACGAAACAACACAAAATGCGATTTTTTGATTCCTCTGCGATTGCGACGCGGGTCACAGATAATGAAGCATCGGGCCACATGTGGCCCGCGGCCTGGGTTTGGACTACCCTGAACTAGACCATCCACCCATTCAAAATTAGTTCGATGAAAAATAATTTATAGACAGCTGTAATGTGGTAATCACAGATAGTCGACACATACAGAAACCACCAAGAGCCTTGCAAGCAGTGTTCCCTCTAAGGTGCGCGTGTGTGCACGCGCACACAGCTTTCAGAGGCTGCGCACACGCATAGATTTACTGCACACAGTCGTATTTCGATGTAATGTAACAATGTTCTCGGTTGGCAGGTTGAGAAAGTTTGTTGTTGGCCCACCCATTACCCGATTAGAACGCCAAAATTTCTTCATTAGTTTTTGCACAAATATTAGTCATTTCCAAAAAAGTGCGCACACACCAAAATTTCTGCGCACATACTACAAAAAATTAGAGGAAACATTGCTTGCAAGATGTGCAAAAAACGTTGAAAACAGTGAAAAACCGTCAAAAAACACCAAAAAACGTGGAAAATCACTAATTGGGTGTTTAAATTGAACTTAAAAGATTTAAGGCGGGGAATTAACTGAATTAGATAGAAAGGAGTCTCACAGATTACCCCTCACAAAATATTCACTGCTGCTTGAACATTGGGCCGACCAATTTTAACTCCTTTTTTTTTCTACCTCATACAGTCTGCTCAACAAAAAGTTGGAATACACAAATTTGAAGTTAAAATTTGTTGAGAATGAAGTTACTGAGAAGAAGTTACAGGAACAACACACAAAAACATCAAGTTGTATCAATTCTCTCGGTGACAGTATGCCACCGCCTGGTAAGAGCTTGACATTTTTTTTCATTTGACAGGAACGGGATTGGAATTTCCCTATTTATCTTGGAAAAAAAAACAGTCTGTAAAATGGCTCATAAAATGACCTCTCGTCCGGTTACTAGTCCATGTTGAGTGTGGAATTAGTTAGCAAGTGATATGTTTCAGATACTAAAACATATAATTGCTTCAATTCTTTGGTGACAGCATGCCACCGCCTGGTAAGCAATTTGAAATTTTTTTTTTCGTTTGAGGGCGCAGGATTTGGTTTGGCAGTTTTGCTGTCAGAATTTCCAGGTAGCATCCTATAAGATAGCTCAGTCATGGAGAAAGCTGTGACCTCTCGTCCGGTTACTAGTCTATGTTGAGTATGGAATTAGTTTACCAGAGATATGTTTCAGGTGCTAAAACGTCAAATTGTCAAAAACTATTTGAGCGACAGCGTGCCACTGCCACCAAAAGGGCAATTACCTTTTTTTTCATTTTGGGGAGGGAAATGGCAAGATGCCAACTGAATAGTTTATAGGGCAGACTGTCGCTGTCAGGAGTATAATTATTTTTCATTAGAAAAGGGAAATGGTAGATGATGTTTCTATGAAAGCCTGAAAAATAATTTTTCAAGTTGCAAGAATTTTCATATTTATCTTGGGAGACAGTATGTCACAACCTGTTGAAGCTTGTGAAATAATTTTTTTGTTTGTTTGGTGGATTTGGCTCGGCGTATCCTACAATTGGCTTGTCCCACCAACTTGTTTCAAATGTTTTTCATTTCATTTTCTGTTCAAAAAAATAAGACAATAAAATAAATTTTACAACTGTATTCTCTTTTCTCAGGGCTAAACCTCCCAGCACTGGACTCCATCAGCACCAGTTCGTCTACAAGTGACATTAAAAGTCCCAAGGTAAGTCATCTATGGTTGGGATAAATTGAGTGGGCTATGCCAGAATGAAATAATTGCAGCATGCAAACATGTTTCTAGGCCAGTGAGTCTCAAACCAGGTTAGGCCATAATTTTATTCTAATTTTCCTTATTTTAGTTCTACTATGAGTTTAGGGACTGTCTGTGTTAGCCAAGTGAATATATCCACTGCCCATAGGTTTCAGTCCCTTTACACAACTCAATGTAAAGTTGGCGAAAAAAATTAGTTACCTCCATATTGGTACACACACTTCTGGGGCGACCATGATTTTGTCAGTGTGGCAGGAATAATCTTGGTTTCATATCCCATGTTCACAACCTCATCCTGTGTCTAATAAATTAAATAGGCGATTTTTTAGATTATAAGACTTTTATTTATAAAAACGACCCTTGTCATACACATATACATCAAATACAATTTATTTTTTCACCAAATCTCCCAGATAATATAACCTAATTAATACATCGGTTCTGTCCCCTATTAAAATATTCTACTCATTAAATTGAAGTTTAATCCATATTCCACAGATAGCAATAATAGCTTATAGCGTATCGACGACTGCCTGGCCTGAACAGGGCTCTTCTTGGTATGAAACTGTCTCTCATAAAAGTTTTTTTTTTCAGCCAAATTTAAAATGAATTCTGAAATTTCTGTGGCTACATGTACATGGCCTTTTTAGGAATAAGGGTTTTAAAACACTATAAGGAATTTATTATTATTTATTATTTATTACTTATCGATTTTAATCGGTAAGTATGTTGATAGGTATTTGTCTGTCTGTATGTCTGTCTGTCTGTTAGATGCACGCGATATCTCACGAAAGCGAGATTGAATCTGCTCCAGATTGAGAATTTAATTTAATTTCTCATCCTAACTTTCGATCAATAAGTCTTCTGTCTCTGACCGATATTCTCGTTTTATTATTTTTATCATAAAATTATGAATTTGTTTTAAAACATCTTTTTAGACTCCAGCTGGTGGAGGAGGACTGAGAAGTATTTTTCCCTTCAAGCAGAAATCGACGAAAACACAGAAAGACTCCAAGAATAATGTAAGTATAGTTTTAATCTAGGGTTTCTCAAAATAGGCTCTCGGTTCTTCAGGGGGTTTTCAGGGTAATATTCATCATCATTGAATTGAAATTAACTGACAGTTATTGGTTTAACTCAGAGCTAGCCGAATATTGAACATGAATTACATAATGGGATTTGGAATCCACTAATTAAAATGGCACTCTAAATACCACTGGAATGATAAACGGGGCCATGAGTGCTAAAACCCTTCAGAACGGGGCCATAAGCCAACCCAGAGTACAAGTCATATTCGTTAATTAATTTTACACATTTTTCAGATTTTTGATACATCCAAAGACATTCGGGATCAGGAATGGTTCCATGGTTCAATTCCTCGGAACGAGGCGAACGCTTTGCTGCTCAGTAACGGAGATTTCTTACTCAGAGAAAGCCATAATTCTCCCGGGGATTTCGTACTCTCCGTTCTACACGAGGGAACTCGCAAACACTTTAAAGTCAACAGGACTCCTAATGTGAGAGAATTTTTTTCTTGCCACAATGGGGGGGGGGGATTTTCGTTTTTTAGGGTCTGCAAGGGGTCGGGGTGTAATATCTAAAAATATTACCCAGAATCCTGTGAAAGTAACACAATTTACAGTTGGGGGCCAGTTTAAGGGGCTCTTGGCGTTCTGTTTCAATTGTTTGATGGTACTACATAGATTCTATCCCTGAAAGGTCCACCATTGAAAATTTCTTTCATGGAATATTTTTTTAGACAAAAAGCAACTCTTACTCCTTAGGGTGACCTTTATTTCCAATAAAAGGTTTTTTAGTGGTTTATTTTGTCTCTGCCTCTGTAAAGTTGGTGAAATTAAACTGGAAGGATTCTTGAACACGGCTTTGTTTGAAGAGTAAGGTGAAATTAAGCGATATAAGAAAAGATAATATATTGCTGAATAGAAAAATGGGTACTCACGTAGTAGTGTAGTGTGTTAGGGTTAGGCCATAATTTTATTTCGATTTTCCTTATTTTAGTTCTATTACGAGTTCAGGGACTGTCTGTGTTAGCCGAGCGAATATTCCCCTCTGCCCATAGGTTTCAGTCCCTTTATACATCTTAATGTAAAGTAGGCGAACAATTGTTAGTATTGGTACACACACTTCTGCAGCGCCGAAAAATCTAAATGTGCTTCAAATGAATCTTAATTTAGACTTCATGGTGTTAAAAAAGGAACGCAAAATTAACAGAAGTTAAGATGAAATGCTACTTAAAACATTTAACGACTGACACTTTTTAACAGTATTGATTAGGGTTTGGCCATAATTTTATTCATTATTTTAGTTCTATTACGAGTTTGGGGACTGTTTATGTTAGCCAAGTGAATATACCCCCTGTCCATAGGTTTCATACCGTTTACACAACTTGATGTAAATTAGGCAAAAAAAATTAGTTACCTCCATATTGGTACACATACTTCTGGAGCGCCCATATGTTTCCCCTATCTGGCAATTGAATCTTAATCGAGACTATATACCAGGGGTGGGCACGGTTTTTAAACCAGGGCCCTAAAATTTTGCCCATTTAGACTGGCGGGCCATGAAATTGTGACGTAAGTTTTGAACAATATTTACAGAATTACATAGCAAAGGTGGAAAACAATACGTTCCGTGCCAAAACTAAATTAAGACACTATCTCAACAAATTCCTTAAGCTATTTTTTTATCTAAAACATCAAAACTTTTAGTTTGATTGTTGCAGCATAAGGCGGACCAGATTGAATTCAATGGGCCGGATTTGGCCCGCGGGCCGTGCTTTGCATGTCAGATATATAAACTAGTTTTTTTTGTGCTTTCTTGGGTCTGATTTCCCACTTTTTCCAGGGCAAGTTCAAGTTTGAAGTGGAACAATGCAACACCATAGTAGAACTAGTGGAATCTCACTATACGAAAGGATTGTATATCACCAAGCAGTCACAATGCGTCATCGCAAAACCAATAGTTAAGGTGGGTGAAGTTAAGGGGTGTGTCATGTGGGTGTGTCTTATAGTGTCATCATGAATCTAGCGGTTAAGATTGCTGAAGCTGAGGGGTGTGGCATACAGGTGTTTCTCAATGTGTCATCATAAATATAATAGTGAAGGTGGATGAAGTTATGGGGCGTGGGTGTGTCTCAATGTGGCATAAATTGTCTACATATATTTGGTGTTAAAAATGTTGTTACCACTGGCATCAACATCATTATTTTAATGCATCATTTTAATGCCTTACATCACTTACTTTATTTTAAGGAAATTGGTCTAGTATTGTAGTTTTTTTACCATTTGAATTCGGGTTATCCTAACCTATACTATAAGCTTCAAATTTTCTTGATAGATAAGTCCATTTTTGGCTTGTTTTGTTGTCAGCGTATCCGAATCTTATTCAATCTTTTTATTATTCTTATTTACATTCTTCCAGGACAAATGGTCGCTCAGTCATGCTGATCTTGAACTTGGAGCCAGACTTTGGCCGAGGAAATTTCGGGGATGTTTTTAGAGGCATATTTTTAAGAATGAAAATATTGATGTAAGATGATTTTTTTTCACATTTTTAGACTAGTCAAGTTTGGTACCTGATGTGACCAGTGGCGCAACCAGGCCATTTTCAACGGGGCTTACCTTGCCCTCGTTCACCGGCGCTTCGCTATGTCTTGCACCTCGTGGGTAGCAAAACGCCGTTCATTACATTCCAGCGAATTGCTAACGAAAAGCTGTTAATTATTTTCAACGTTTCCCTCGCTTTGCCGCCTCGTGGATAGTGAAACACAACTTGAATAAATTCCAGTGTTCCCTCGTGCCGCGCCTTGCTCGTTGGGTGAATTCGTCAAGACTAAAAACAAAATACACTTCTTTGCGAATGAACCTTTTCCCCGACCCTAACCCCAGAAAATTCGAAACTAAACTGAAGCTCACCGGAAGACATAATGACAATTAAAATACTTGATTACAACTAATTTTTGGAAACACAACTAAAAACTGACTAATTTAAATGCAGGGATGTCCAAATCGAATTTAAATTCAAATGTCGCAAACTTCAAATACTGTTTTTTTCGTGTTTTATAATAATCCCGAATATGGCGCACATATCCCAGCGTCGTCGTCCATGTGTGGTTCGGCAATATATTACAGCTGACATGAAAGAATTTCGATAAACGCCGACTTGAAGAACTTATAAGACTTCGAGGACGTTTTTGATTGAAAATATTTTCTTATCGTGTATTTTAAACTTAGTCAAGATGGTTTAGGCGTCCTCCGGCAAATTGTGTTCCTAATTAGTTGTTTTCATCCTCAGTTTCGATAGTGGCCGAACATAACAGGGAATTTTTTCATTTCTTGTAATTTATATCGTATAAAATAGCTCTTAAATAGTATTTAATATCTATCGCGGATTTCGTCAGCATCCGGCGTTGATGTCAACATTGTTCAGTTTAAGTTAGCGGTATTCATTTACAAACAAAAATACATAACAGACGACATGAAATATTCAAATCAGCGCAGAGTTCAAAAATAAAACACGTTTTATGGTCTTAATATGCATATAGAAAGAAGGAAGGACAGAGAAATAACGACTAAAAACTAAGAACGATATGGTATGTTTGTGTACTTTTGTTTACCATCGTCATCATAATCAAATTAGTTAAAACCGATTCCCAAATTTCCGTCCGCCAATAATGGAGAATAAAGATGGGAAAACGTGTTTTACTTTTTGAGTCAGCGTTGATTTAAATTTTTCATGTTATGTGTTATAAATTTTTGATTATAAACCAATACCTCCAATTCAAAATGAACGATATTGTTATCAACGACGTCGGGATAACGATAAAATCTCCGATAGAAATCAAATAATATTTAGAAGCTATTTTATAGATTGCAAGAAATTAAAAAATTTCCCCTTAAGTTTGATAACTATCGAGTCTGAGGATGAAAACAATTAATTAGGGCAGGATTTGCTTTTAAGTTTATTGCCGAGGCGCACAACATATCTTGGACTAAATTGAAATATACGATAACAAATGTAAAAAATTTTTCGACCAAAAACGTTCCTCAACGTCTTATAAGCACTTCAAGTCGGAGTTTATTGAAAACCTTTCATGACGAGTTATTGCCGTGCCACACATGGCTTGCTTTCGATTGTGATAAAAAAATAGAATAATTGTGAAATGTTTTTTAAATCAGAACGTGGACGGGGGCGGTAAGATGTGTACGGCGTTTTCGGTTTTCGGCCTTTCATATGTAGAAAATCTTAGGTTAATCGAAAGCGATATGTTTCCGAAAGTAAATTTCGTATCCAGATTTTCAGAGTTTCTACTGCATTATTATAACATGAAGACGGGCGGCGTTACATTGCGTCAAGATGATGAAGCACGAGAGTATTCGTCACAAGAGAGAGAGAGATAGCATTATGCTATTGTCGCTTTCAATTCGCATAGACAGCGCGCGATTTCTACTTTTTTGAGGTAACATATCTCATTTTCGAATACAAACATATACGCGGGGATAGCGATTATTACGTAACTAACAGCAAAAAGGTATGATTGAAGTCGGGCGGTGTTAAATTACATCGAGGTGATAAAGCACTGGAAAAAAGTAGTTTTCACCGGATTGTTATGACCGCAGAACGACGTTGTTTTAACGTAGAACAATAATAGAAAAAAAACGAATTTCAAACGGGGGGGACACGACCCCCGTAACCCCCCCGCTGGTTGCGCCACTGGATGTGACGTCATATGGCACATAGCGTGTAATATAGCTTTCCTCTCGCTTATTACTTATCGATTTTAATCGGTTTAATAGGTATTTGTCTGTATGTCAGTCTGTCTGTTAGATGCACGCGATATCTCACGAAAGCGAGATTAAATCTGCTCCAGATTTTGCATGTGCATTCATCATATCTCGGACCAAAAGCCTATTGATTTTGGGACGAATTATGTTGTATAATCAGCGAGTTATTAATTAATTAGTGATGGGACACAAGGTGTCACTATGGAGTAAGAGCGCTGTTTTGGGGGATCCCCTAACTTTCGATCGATAAGTCTTTGGTCTCTGACTGACCGATATTCTCGTTTGCTCCTTATTTGGAGCAAAGCTTTTAATACCGGTATATGTTAGTTTTCTTTAAAAATTTTGTCTCAAACACAGCACTGCACTTAGTGTGTAATATGCTTTCTGTTTGTCTTGCTTTTGGTACTTTTTAATTAGAATGGGTTCCATATGTATTCAAGGTTGCAGTGAAAACTTGTCGAGAGAACGTTGATCAGAGAACGAGAGATAAATTCCTAATGGAAGCAAGGTTGGTTTGATTTGATATTTTATTCCTTACTTAAAGGGAAATCTGATAAGATGGCTCCATCATATGGCGAACCATGAGTTAACCTTAAGTCTCTTAAGAAAGTAAGGAAATTGATCATGATTAATGGTAATATCATTGACTTTAAGATTGACTTTTCGAATTAAAAACAAAGTTATTGCAAACAATTTGTTACAACATGTCCTGTTATGTTCGAGCATACGGTATGACACATTGTGCACTGTGTTGTGCACCCCTGGCCTTGCTGGGTGTTGCAACTTACATGAGGAAAGTAAGGAAATTGATCATGATTAATGGTTATATTATTGTCTTTATGATTGACTTTTCAAATAAAAAACAAACGATTTGTAGCCACATCATTATGATTTTAAAATTCATTTTTTTTTCAGAATTCTTAAAGGATATGACCACCCTAACATTGTACGATTGATTGGTGTATGTACCGATATGCAGCCAGTGTATATTGTTATGGAACTCGTTCCAGGTAAGAATTTTATCATCGATTTATTACTTATCGATTTTAATTGGTAAGTATGTTGATAGATATTTGTCTGTCTGTATGTCTGTCTGTTTGTCTGTTAGATGCACGCGATATCTCACGAAAGCGAGATTGATTCTGCTCCAGATTTTGCATGTGCATTCATCTTATCTCGGATCAGAAGCCTATTGATTTTGGGCGAATTATATCGTATAATTAGCGAGTTATCAATCAATTATTGATATAGTGATCTAGATTTTTGTGGAGCGAGAGAATTTTGAGACCCGCCAAGTGTGTGTGTGCGATGCGCAGTGCGCAAGTTACAAGAGCGGAAGAATCGAAACTGCAGTTTCTGTTTTGGGGGATCCCCTAACTATCGATCGATAAGTCTTCGGTTTCCAACCGATATTCTCGTTTGGTTATTACTGCTATCTTTTCTCTTTGAATGAGCCCGCTGTCACAGATACACTTTATTTTGAAAGGCCCTAAATTTTGGATCAGTTCTATGTTTTTGTCTATTCCATTGATTCTCAACTTTTTTGTTAAACCTCTTCCTTTTCCTAAACTCCATAACTATTTTGAAACTCAGCGCACTTTTTTGCAGAAACTGCGTGGGACCCCTTCAGATAGAACCCTTTTTTTAGAGACTGAAATTGTTAGAGTGAAAGTCCTTTACGCATAAAGAGTGACCAAGACATTTTTTTAAATTTTATTACCATACGATTTAATTACGCGCAAATAATCGCAAAACTCTTCGAATAATTTGCGACTCTATTCGACAGACCTAGTTAATAACTTTATTAACAAGCTAAAATTTTTGGGAGGACCAAATTCTTTGTTTTTCGTCATTGCTCACCCCATTTATCACACCCTGGGTGATGTGAGAGGGGGACGTGGGATTCGAACCCCAAGACTTTAACACGTGATGCCATCATACTTGAGCCTAATTGACCACTAGGCCAGCGGTTCCAAAAGGGGGCGAAGTGCGTCGCGACGATTTGCTAATGCGCTCTGAAAAATCAACAGAATTGAGCTCAGCATAACTAAGATATGATTGAATATTTTACATATTTTATCCATCATAAGTGTTTCTTGTTTCTTATTTTAAATGCTGTGTACATGAATCAATAAATTCATTTTATCTTTCTATGTTGTTTCCTTTCTGTTACGTAGTGTCTTTTCTGTGAAAGCATGCTGTGAGTTTTTTCCCTTATAATTTGAAGCCGCACGAGGAAAAAGTTTGGGGACTGCTGCTCTAGGCTACCATGTTAATCAGTGTGGAAATACTCTCGATATACTTCCCATTATTCTTACAATCTCTCTTTAAACAAAATAAGTGACCTTTACTCTTTGACCTTTCCACTTCCAGGTGGTGATCTAACTAAACATCTGAAGAAAAGCGTCAACATGCTGCAAAGTAAACAACTTGTGAAGATGTGCATGGATTCCTGTTCAGGATTGAACTATTTGGAGGAAAAGAAATGCATTCACAGGTAGGATAGACGACTGAATCATCGCCTCTCGTTCGGTTACCAGTCCATGTCGGGTACAGGATTAGTCAGTTAGTTATTTGTTTTCGGAAGCATGGACTTGGTAAAGTCCTATCAATAATTAATGTGTCCAAGAAAAGATTACCAGGATAGTTTTTTATTCATGCTTTTGAGTAAATTTAAAATAATTGAGATCCAGTTGTGGATATATACAAGGATTTATTTTAGATTATTTGGGAGCTTACTTATCACAGACCAGCAGTTCACAATCGAGGGCCAGAAAACGTCGGAGGGACGTCATAATTATAGACACAAAACTAATTTTATTTTTCACTTTATAAAAAATTCCCCGTTTTTCTAGTTTTTTTGCTTGAGGTTATTCACAATGTGTTTTTCACTTTAAGCATGAATTGTTTGAACATATTGGATTTTGAATCTAACACTAAAGAAAACACTAAATACTACTGAAATGAGAAACAGTGGGGCCATGAGTGCTTCCAGAGGGGGCTGTGGTCTATAAATGGTTGGGAATCACTGTTACAGACAATATGGTACAGATATGGTGAACCATGCATATGGTCAGTTTACCAGGCCCTAACAGGTATGGTTACCTGAAATACATTTCATATGCATGGGACTATATCTATATGGTCCCATTACCAGGGTCCCATCACCGAGCATTTCATGAACCTCTTATCTTTCACAGCTGATGGATTATGAGTCACCTGCGATCAGTCACATCAAGCTCAGCTTCTTTGAGAAGCGTTAGTTCACAAAAATACGATTAATAAGCGCCACTGCATTTATATTTTGTTTGTGAACTTAAACATAGATCTTGTGTTGCTATTCATAACAGAGATTATTAACTCTATTCTAGGGATGTTGCCGCCCGTAACTGTCTCATAACGGACGATGGAGTCGTCAAGATTACTGACTTTGGGATGTCTCGTGAGGAAGAGGATGGCGTGTACAGCGTATCTGGAGGAATGAAACAGATTCCTATCAAATGGACGGCACCAGAGGCTATGAACTATGGTAAGTATTATGATATCTATCATGCAGGCCTCTTAGTAAAATATGTTGTCCAGGGCCTAGACTGTATACAGATATCAACTGAAAACTTAACTTTTGTAATAGTAAATAAACACTTTCTTAGTGCTTTATTACTTTTCAAAAGATACAAAATCACTATTGGTGTTGTGGTTTGTTCAGCTGTCTTTGTGAATTGAATTGTCAGCCCAAATTAATTCATGGTTAAGTTTAGTTACACAAAGGTTCTTTCATAGGATGCCACTTTGAAAATAGTTCGATAAAGTAGTTTGGAAAAAAAGCGCATCATCCATCTTTGAGCAGAGATGGAGGGCTCCAAACCATTGTTGTATTCTTGATATTACCGCTACAATAAAACACCAGTCCAAATTTTAAAACTGTCTTGAAAGTTTTAAATATACAGATGCGGCCCACATGAAAAAAATTAAAATTGTGCGGCCCGGGAAAGTGTCAATTTTGAATGTTGTGCGGCCTGTAGAACAAATTTTTAATTTAGTTTAATCTGGTATGTACGAATAACTATAATCCCTTTATGTTGCAGAGCCTATACCTGAGTCCAATTTATCCATTTGACGTTACAATGCCCTAACAGCTAGCATGTGCGAAGCGAACATCGTATGTCATGAGATCAATAACCAAAATTTTTGCGAATAAGGTTCGATCATCGATATTGTCCGCTATTTGTATCTGGCCCTCCGGTATCAAAAGTTGCACATCCCTGATTTAAACTACTTTTTGATGTTCATTCCAGGCACATACACCCATGCAAGTGACGTTTGGAGTTTTGGAGTCCTTGTTTGGGAAATATTCTCTTACGGTAAAGTTCCGTACCCGGGACAGACCAACACACAAGCAAGAGAAGGGATTGAGAGAGGTATGGCAATTAGTTTTCCTTGATTTATTTCTGTCTTGGCTTGGGTTTTTAACAAGTGACCTGTGATGTCATACTTTACATAATTATCAAAGGAAAAGGAATAAAGATAAGATGGCTTAATCATATGGTGAACCATGGCCTCTCGCCCGATTGTGGTACCAGTCCATGTCAAGTAGTTAGCCAGTGCTTTGTTTTCGGAAGCATGGACTTGATAGTGGGTGAAGCTGTGAATGATCAGCAGTTATGTGAACCACCTTACGGTGGCGAGGAGTCCAGCAATCCTCTCGTACATAACCTCAACGAGATTTATGTCCTTGCCCCCCCCACGAGATTCAAACCTGAAAATCTTCGCAGGGTAATCAGAGGTACAATGGCAAGCGTATTCCTAATGCTTAGCTCGATGAGCCACACCGCCTAGCTGCGTTTCATCTGTTTAATTTCCTGATACATATTGCAGCATTTCTGAAGTACCGAGTTGTATATAAGGAGGAAAATTTACCTAGTTTTTTCGTGGGGTCACAGTTTTGAATCCAGTGGGGAATAGTTATGTGCGAGAGGTTACAGCTTCTCCCAACATCAAATCCATGTTTCCAAAAACAAAAAATGGACTAATAACTAGGGCTGGGCATTTCGAATCGAATCGAACATGAAATTATTCGAATCGATTCAGAGCAAAATTTTGAATCGCCGCCATCTTGTTTTTTTACTTTCCGCCAATGTTCGAGGTGAATTTCCAAATTTTTTTTATTGACGCAATTCTGCAACGCAATTCTGACATATGACTTATTTCTGTAGTAAGGCATTAATGAAAACGTGTTTTTTATTGTGTGAACGCTCAGCAATCTGCCTGAGTGATGTATTCTATGTTTTCAGTAGTAATTTATGTGTCTGGAGGACCTAATACAATAAGAAAGTTACATACAATTTTATATCTCTCAAGTATTCGATATTCGATTCGATTCTGAAATCATCAGGTATTCGAAAATGCCCAGCCCTACTAATAACCAGATAGGAGGACATGGTTCGCCATATGATCAAGTCGTCTTTCCGGCTTTCCACTCCCCCAGGTTAAATATGTAAATCCTATTCTAACTCAGTGATTTTTGGACTTGACTCGGGTCATAATTTAAATCCTCCACTCGATGACCCCTGACCCTTTCTAACTTTCTTTTTTTGATTTTCAGGGCAAAGAATGCAAAACCCTCACGGCTGTCCTGACCGAATGTATAATGACGTTATGTTAAAATGTTGGGATGCGGAACCCACAAGGCGGCCTAAATTTGCTGAGTTGCTGAAAATTATCAAAGCTATAAGAGTGTGATAGAGGCATGGCATCTTAGTTTAAACCGTGGCATTTCATAGTGCCATGCTTGATTTGTCTTTGATGCCTCTCGCTGGAGATACCATTGATGAAGTGTCACACATCACAAAATATATATCATGTTTTCTGTGATGTTATGTGTGGCATTTCCATGATGTCACTTATTGACTTTGGTGCCTCTGGTGTGAGTATTCACAGACAGAGTATCACATAATGTATTGTATCTGTCATGTCATATCTGATGTTTCTTGTGGCATTTCTATGATGCCATGGCACATATTGACTTTGGTGTCCCTGGACATGGTAACACGGTTAAAGAATGTTTCCATTTAATTATTCATACCTAATGCATTTATCTGTGGCATTGATAAGATGCCACGCCATGTAACTGCCTTGAATTCCTGCGCTAGTGGCATTAGTTTGCTTACTCATACAAATGTATACATTTGCGGACCAGGGCTAGTTGCAATCATAACATGTATTTGATGCCACATTTTTATGTTAATGCCCCTTTATTCAGAACATCGTCGTAATATCATATATCGTTTTGCTGTTTGAAATTTTACCACTAAATAGCCCTATTAAGTCATTTGCCTTTTTCAGCATAAGTTCTGTAATTTGCTCATTTAAGTGAGTCTAGGCAATGTAGAAATAGGAATTTCATTGTTTTTTTATTTTAATATTAATAATCGAAGCAGTAATCCTGAGAAGCATTTTAATGTTTTTATTTCATTTTTTATTTCTTCTTACTCTTGTCAATACCTGATTTATCAGTACTTTTTCCTCTATCAAATTATGTAACAGTTTTATAAGGCTAATAATATGAAATAATGTGACTATAACTTTCATCTTAACTGAGGAGGGGAAATACCCTTTCTTTCGTTTCCGAAGGAATCAACTTGTTATTATGAGTTTATTTTTATAAATTTCACCCAGATTTTTAGATTTCGAAAGAAAAATTCATTTCTATAGTCAACTTGTTACGCTGTCAACTTAAAAAAAATCCAATTAAAAAATAACAACAAAAATACCAGTAGAATGATAAACAGTGGGGCCATCCATGAGTGGTAAAGATTTCCGGAAGGGATCCTTTAAAAAACACCGCACTAAGCCACCCTGTCGTTAATGTTACTGTAACAAATTTATTTTATATTTCAACATGTTATTACTTATCGATTTTAATCGGTAAGTATGTTGATAGATATTTGTCTGTATGTCTGTCTGTTAGATGCACGCAATATCTCACGAAAGCGAGATTGAATCTGCTCCAGATTTTGCATGTGCATTCATCATAAGTCTGACCAGAAGCCTATTGATTTTGGATGAATTATGTCGTATAATTGGCGAGTTGTTAATTAATTAGGGATAGGACACAAGTTGTCACTATGGAGTAAGAGCGCTGTTTCGGGGGATACCCTAACTTTCGATCTGACCAATATTCTTTTTGTATAATTACTGGTTCCATTACATTTGAACCCACGTACATTTGAACCCATGACAATTGCACCAGTATGCTATTGCACCTATGGAATTTTTTTTGTTTCACGGATAGTTAAACCCATACTAACCCTAAACCATGGGTTTTAGCACCCGCATATAGATTGAACCTGTGGATATACGCATGGGTTCAAATGTACGGTCACCATAATTACTCCATCTAAGCCATATGTCGCTACTCTCACCATCGGAGTATGAAAAATGATGTGTGCCACTTGTCTCCTTCGTTGTTATGATAGATATAAAACTCTAAGTAAATGGTTCCTAAAGTTAATGGATTGGGGGCTAAAATTAGAAGCGAGAGAATATTTGCGGACCCGAAGAGGGGTGCGTCCGCAAGGATCTGATATCGCTATAATAATCAAGATACCAGTATAATTGAATTGTTACGACATACACATGCTTAAACTTTGATGATGATGTAACAAATAAAAAAAATGTTAAAACTATTTCACTCAAGTTTTGTAGGCCATAATAAATCGTTACTGCCCGCGGGCCACGATTTTGGGAACCACTGCTCTAAGCCAACTGTGAGAATTAATACAGGGTGTTAAAAAAGGTAAAGTAAAACTTTTCGTCATGACAACGTCAAAAAAGTAATCAGGAAATGTTTCAATAGCATTTCATCGTAATTAAAAACTGCTGAAAAGTGTCAGTCATGAAATGTTTAAATGGCATTTCACCGTAATCAATACTGTTAAAAAGTGTCAGTCGTTGAATGTTTTTAATAGCATTTCATTGTAATTAAAAACTGCTAAAAAGTGTCAGTCATGAAATGTTTAAATGGAATTTCACCGTAATCGATACTGTTTAAAAGGTGTCAGTCGTTAAATGTTTCAATAGCATTTCATCGTAATTAAAAACTATTAAAAAGGGTCAGTCATGAAATGTTTAAATGGCATTTCACCGTAATCAATACTGTTAACAGGTGCCAGTCGTTAAATGTTTTAAGTAGCATTTCATGTTAACTTCTGTTAATTTTGCATTACTTTTTTAACACCCTGTATTTAAAGTGGAATTCAAACAAGTGGAACGCAACATTTTTAAAACACCTCGCTCATAATTAGTCGGTACTTTATATAATTTGCAGACCTCCTGAAATATGCGCACCAATATGGCGCACAACCTGAACTCAGGCAGTGTACCAGGTTAGAATTCAGGTTGTGCGACATCTTGGTGCGCATACTTTAGGAACACCTAATTTGCACGTCAATCGAAAAAGTTGTACGATACTCCATATTGGTATTAGCACTAATAAAAACTGTACTTATCTTTATTAATAACTGTATTGATTTATTAGAAAATGTTCCCAATTAATTTTAAATATTTCGTTATGTCAGAAAATGTTACTCTCTGAGTATTGGCCGCGGGGGAAGAGCAATATGCGGCGCTCCAGAAGTATGTGTACTAACATGGAGGTAATTAATTTTGTTCGCCTACTTTACATCAAGTTGTGTAAATGGACTGAAACCTATGGGCAGGGGGTATATTCACTTGCCTAACACAGACAGTCCCCGAACTCGTAATTGAACTAAAATAGGAAAAATATGAATAAAATTATGGCCTATACCTAGCCTGGTAGACACACTACAGGAGTAACCTTTTTAGATAAATTGCACTTCACTTATCCCCTTTTTTTAATCCCTTTATTCCTCTCTCACTATGTTCCCATTATCTGTTCAATCTCTGAGAATCTTTAATTAGTTTGCACACAATCTAGTTTCAGCAGTGTTTGAATATTTTCCTCCCCAAAAATCCTAAGTTGTAATAGGATTTTGAAATCTTTCAAAGAATTACCCAATTTTGTATTATAAGTTATGTATCTTATAAACTTGATTTAAAAGTTGATTTCAATCAGCCCAAACTTTGGATTCTAAACGTGATTTAATAATTGACAGTCGGATTTTTTGAAAATTACTCCACGGTTACCACCGCATGTCTTGCTCAAACTTTACTCACTCAACAGCTCCCTCCAATGGCATGATCCCAAAATACGAAGAGAGATAACATTTTCTTACTGTTTTAATGATTTTATATCTTAATTAAAATAACAATTTGTACTCAGACCTTTGCAATTTTATTCTTATATATATAATCAGTATGCATTTTTTATCCTGTCAAAGTTGAAAATTTAGGGATGTCACAATTTTTGTTGTGTTATTAAGAATGTATGTATGTTTATTTGCCTCAAAAAAGTAACAGTATCTGCATAATAGAGATGGGATACATGTTCAAGATCTTACTGGCCTAGGACACAGATGTGCGACATGCACCCCAACAAGTATAACTGCAGTTTAGGACTGTCCAGGTCGAGAGATTTAAAAGTACATTGAGATCTTGCATCTTTCTTTTCATTAGGGGAATACCCAGAGGGGGTTGTGGATCCAAACCCCCTTTTAAAATGTAAAAAAGGCTTTTTTTTGTATCATACATAACAATTTATAGCTTCAAACGCTTTTTAGTCCTTCAAGAATCTTTTATATCCACGTTTACGGTCTGCAATTTTAAATTTAGGAACCCGCCTTTGAAAATTCTTGTACAGTACCCTAACAATCATTGCATCCACTAACACTAGTAGTACATGGTGTTCCAATCAATCTTGCTGTATACAGAATTCGGGGCTCCCGAAGTATGCGAACCAAGATGGCGGACATCGGAATGTAATATGTGTACTAGGTTAGGGTTAGGCCATAATTTTAGGTATAAATACTACGGGAGGCTCTTGGCTAGCCTTCGAACTGATAATAGGACTAAAATTGGAAAAAAATTATCGCCTAACCCTAACCTGTTACCCATGTTACGTTCCGATGTCCGCCATCTTGGTTCGCATACTTCGGGAGCACCCAGAATTCTTGCAGTCAATTCATATCGATCCACTGACAAGAGGGCATAGCTGAGCACTTCGATATCAAGCATGTAAATATTATTACTCAGCAAATTTTTCACCGCTTAACGATGGTGTTGCAGTGTTTTATACATTATGAGGATGCAGTCGTAATTATTTCGATAAATTCAGCGATTAATTGAGATTTGTGACATCCCTAGCAGCCATTTCTTCAACATTTTTGCGTCATTTTATGCAGCTTTGTAATATTTGCACTAATAATTTTATAAAAACTGTACCTGCTTAAATTTATCATGTTTTAAGCGCTTTGCATTGTGATTCTATTTTATGATTTAAATTCATTGTTCCAACCAATGGTGTTGAGCCAGGTTCCATACTCCAAGTTGATTAAAATTTTATTTTGAATTGGCTTAAACTTCATTGTAAAATAACAAAATTTCATGATTTGCATTGTGGTTCTGTTTTTATTTATTATTTTCTTGTTTAGATCAGGTCTGTAGATTTGGGTGAAAGTCGTTTTTTGTATCATTCTTATCAAATATTATTCAATTTTTGACCCATATTGTAGGATTACAAAATTACTGCGTTTGCAAGCTTTTTTCTGGTCACATTTCAAAATCAGTCTCCAGCCTCCAAGTTTTAATTTTTACTCTAAACTCCAGATAGTTTGAAATTTTGTAAAATTTGTCCATCTCAAATTTTACATCTTTGCATTGTGATTCTATCGTATGATTCAAATTTAATGCTTAAACTAACTCTGTTGGGTCAGATAAAATCACCAGTTTGGCTCCCTACCCTTAGTTGATGAAAATATTGATTTTAGCTTCAGCTCTGCATTGCAAAATAACAAAATTCCACAATTTAGCATTGTGATTCTATCAACTAACTTGCTAAACTTGTATGCATCATATTTCTACTTTATTAGTAAAAATTGACCGTTTTAACCTGTCCTATGGATTAGGATAAAATAGCCATCCAGTTCCTCAACCTTGAAAACTTATTTGGTTTGAGATATTCATTTCATACAAAGCTCCAGCCATGCCACCACTAAGTGTGAAAAAAGCATGGAACTTTGTCTGCTAGCCAAATCAGACTTCTATTAGGTATTGGTTTATGTTACTCAAAAAAAATAGAGGTAGCCAACTAGAATGATTTCGAATAAGTTCTGAAATGTTTTTGAATATGGACTTTTAATTATACAGGGCGTCCATAACATTCCTTTACAATTTCAATTTTGTTATGAAGTCAGTTCACAATATATCTTAAACAGGTTTGTTGCTTTCAATCAAAAAGTATTTGTACTTCATTTAATACATCTGTGTGGCCGAAACAATATCGATAAATTCCCTTTGCGCAATTTTTCAAGTTTTTATGGACACCCTATCCTAGTTAGAGTTAGGTCCACAGAGAAATTAGCATAAATCATTGTGAATTAATAAAAATTGTATTTGGTAATGCATAATAGCTGGGATGAACTTTGTTTTAATTAATATCCTTTTTATTGGATCTTCCAAAGTATTTGCACTAAAATGGCGCACAACCTGAACATAGTATGTGTACCCAGCAAGGGTTCAGGTTGTGCGACATCTTGGTACACATTCTATGGGAGCGCCTTTTTATTTACACCTGGAGTTAAGTAACTGGAAGTGATTGATTTTTGTTTAATA